TTACTTTCCCTCCCTCCCGTCCCCTACAGCCTATATTAACTCCCTTACCCACTGATTGGTCTATTACAGGCCTGCACAACTCAAAATGTAAGGCGGGCCGTAATGCTTTAGGAAAAACGTGTGCGGGCCGAAATAAAATAGGACAAGGGGGAACGCTATTAAGATGATAATAATGATAAAGAATATTTCTTTACTTCGCAGGCCGCAAAGTGGGGGCTGGCGGGCCATATGCGGCCCGCGGGCCGTATGTTGTGCAGGCCTGGTTTATTACATTCCTCTTGCTGTCTTCTCGAATACCACAGTGCATGCAGCTAAGTGTTTATTTCAATGTCTATATTGACTTTACTCTTTGTTCGCTGAGGATATCTTCTTGCCGAAACGATCGCTGTTTTATAATGTCCTCCCCCCCCACCCCACTTTGTTTTACTCTTTTCCTTTTTGTTTGTTTGTAAGAAAGCAGCTGAAGCATATCGCTGGCTTTGAAAGACAGGGTGATAAATAATTCACGATTACATCTGTGCATATTTGTTTAGCTTTTGTAATAGTTTTGAGGGTTTAAAAAAAAAATTACTTTTGAGTCAAGGGAAAATATGTAACATTTAACGTATCCTGTTTGACAGAAAATCTTGTGTTTCATCGTAATGTGGTTAAAGGGAAATTTTGGACGCATTTAAGCTTAACCAAATTCACCACCGTCATCTTGGAATCAGAAAATCTGCCATCTTAACCGCCATTTTGTACGATGGTGGGATCAAAGCAACACACCAAAGACAAGTCTGCTTCAAAGCTACAGACATTATGAACAAAATATTTTCTCCGTTTGAACAAAAACACTAGACTGTTCCAAATGTCAAGGTCCACCCAAAAACCTAACAGCTATTCTGACCACACCATGATACACCCAAGACCCTAACAGCTACTCTGACCACACAATGGAAAAAAAATACACTCAAGACGCTAACAGCTACTCTGACCACACCATGATACACTCAAGACCCTGACAGCTATTCTGACCAAACAATAATACACTCAAGACCCTAACAGCTATTCTGACCACACAATGATTAAATCAAGAACCTGACAGCTATTCTGACCACACAATTATTAACTCAAGAACCTGACAGCTATTCTGACCACACAATGATTAAATCAAGAACCCTAACATCTATTTTGACCACACAATGATTAAATCAAGAACCCTAACATCTATTTTGACCACACAATGGTTAAATCAAGAACCCTAACATCTATTTTGACCACACAATGATTAAATCAAGAACCCTAACATCTATTTTGACCACACAATGGTTCAATCAAGAACCCTAACATCTATTTTGACCACACAATGGTTCAATCAAGAACCCTAACATCTATTTTGACCACACAATGGTTCAATCAAGAACCCTAACATCTATTTTGACCACACAATGGTTCACTCATTGGGATATATAAAAGCATCGGATCTCTCTTATCTTAGATTATCTATATGATCAACTCTTGTACACTAACTGCTCACATGTTTTCTATCTTTCCATTTAAACAATTCTCAAGCTATCTTGCTAATTTGGTGGTAGAAATACATTGAAAAGGCAGGGGGTTGTGGTGGGGGGGGGGTGGGGGGTGGGAAGGGGTGACATAAAAAAGGGGGTGAGCCTTGAAGGGTGCAACTCGGTTTGATTGGGACTTTAGACAAACTTATGACTTATGACTTTTGACTTATGATATTTTGAAATAATTTTTTATATTAAAATAATGACAATTAACGTTCACTCTGTGAAGCCCCTTCCGGAGCAGGTCATCACCGCCCCCACCCCCCCCCCCCCCCCCCGGAAAATATGTGCAACAATAAAAAAAGGGATTTAAAAAAAATATTTTTGTTTTTTTGCAGTCCGATTTTTTGACTTATGATATTTTGAAATAATTTTTTATATTAAAATAATGACAATTAACGTTCACTCTGTGAAGCCCCTTCCGGAGCAGGTCATCCCCGCCCCCACCCCCCACCCCCCCCCCCGGAAAATATGTGCAACAATAAAAAAAGGGATTTAAAAAAAATATTTTTGTTTTTTTGCAGTCCGATGCCATATTTGTTTTCATATTGTTTCTTTTTTTTTAATGGTTATCGGTTTTTACATGCTTTCCCAACTTTTCAGATGACACATTCTAAGGGCTAGAAGGCATATTATAGAGTTATATGACATATAAAATCATTAGTGGACGATGAAATCTATTGTCAGTGCAGTCAAAGTGGATCTCATTTTGATAGCACATTTTGGTACGAACCCTTGTTCAGCGCGAATAACGTCTGCGCTACTTTTGAGCGACTGCCATGAATGCGATGAACTAGATTTGGAGGTGTGAAAGTTGGTATGGAAAAAGGTGTTTGGTGTACAGAGTAGAGAGTATATGTGTAGCTGTATCTACATGCTGGGATTTAGTGACGTGTTTGGGCAAGAGGAAATAACGTGTCAATTGGTGTTATTGTTTGGCATGCTAGCAGTGATGGGGGTTATAGATTTTGGTAGTTGTACATTGAATAAAGAGATGGTTTGTTCTACGATTCAATGGTTTGTTGAGTAATTGTAACCCTTAGACCAAGAAGCTATTGAAATGGCAATTCCCGGGTCGTAGCAACAAGCTCAAAGGCGTTCACACATTGCGTAAGTGTCGTTAGAGCGGCCGACACGACTGTCATCTCTGATTTCATTCTCCAATCATCAGTCATCAGTTTTGAACACGACCCAAACCCTCCCCCCCTCCTTCTTCCCGTTTACTCCCTCTCTCTCCGCCTCATCCTTTCTTTCTCTACCCCCCCCCCAACCCCACCAAATTTATTCCAGTCTGCATTGTTCATTCACATCAGCAGACTGATCAAGCGTGCGGCATAATGACAGACTCAGGTAGTGTGTAGTAGCTAGTGACCTGGTTATTTTGACACTATTATTCTATACTGAGTGTTCATTTATTAATTTTTTTAACACGTGTTGATGTTTTTTAAAAAAAATAAATAAATCGTATTTAAAACAAACTTTTATGAAGAATTTATTTCACCCTCGTTTTTGTAATAATCAAAAACCGGTCATTCGTTTCAAATATAAAACTATGGAATATTAGCGCTTATCCCCCTTGCTGTGTCCGCGTCATCGATTGATGTTGACAGCGTTTTTATTGTAAGAAATGGTAATAAGGGGGAGAGATTGCAATCTGGTTTGCTGAAAGGAAAGGAGCGAAACAAAGTGTGGGGAAAATACGAAAAAAAAGGGCATAAGAAAACAACTGACGCGTCGGCAAGACGCCTTCTTCAGCTAACAAACAACAGTAAAAATGTCTACATTGCAGCTTTTTATTTTTAATTTAAAAAAAAAAAAATGTTTTTTTTTATAAGATTGCATGGTTTTCATATCGAAAGGATTTGTATGACTGACTGGTGAATCTTGCAGTCTTCGACCTGTCAAGATTTTACGTGACACATGTGTTTCACAATGCTGACTACCTGAGGGTTTACTTCCCTTGTCTGAAACTGTTTCTACTGGAAGTAGACAATCTGTTACGTGGTGTAGGGCTGGGTTGCATTGATTCACCGTTACAACATATCGATCTCAAGTCAGATCTAGTCTCCGGACCAGTGTTTGTGGGGTGTCCGACCAACATGACCATTGGACGGCATACCGTTACTTCTAGGAAATGACTTAGAGCAGAGGTGTCACACTCACTCACTCGGCGCAGGGCCAGAGGCGTCACACTCACTCACTCGGCGCAGGGCCAGAGGTGTCACACTCAATCACTCGGCGCAGGGCCAGAGGTGTCACACTCATTCACTCGGCGCAGGGCCAGAGGTGTCACACTCAATCAATCACTCGTTGCAGGGCCAGAGGTGTCACACTCGCTCACTCGGCGCAGGGCCAGAGGTGTCACACTCACTCACTCGGCGCAGGGCCAGAGGTGTCACACTCACTCACTCGGCGCAGGGCCAGAGGTGTCACACTCACTCACTCGGAGCAGGGCCAGAGGTGACACACTCACTCACTCGGCGCAGGGCCAGAGGTGTCACACTCACTCACTCGGCGCAGGGCCAGAGGTGTCACACTCACTCACTCGGCGCAGGGCCAGAGGTGTCACACTCACTCACTCGGCGCAGGGCCAGAGGTGTCACACTCATTCACTCGGCGCAGGGCCAAAACTCAAATCACACGTACGTTTTGCAGGCCGAACAGGATAAACATCCAATAAGTGGAAAATAAATATTAAAAAACAACAACAACAACATTTATATTAAGGAAAACAGAAAAAAAGTTGTTCGTTCTTATGCCAAATTGTCAGAGCTGGGTGTTTGGCAGATTTTTTTTTGGCTACAGAAACAAGTAAGCTCGTTTATGTTGAGAATAACGTTCTGTGTCATTGAGATTCTCACGATGGACTGCGTCACTATGCTCAACTGACACATTAGTCAACATTCACAATGGGGACGGAGTTGTCGTTTAAAAAAATTAATTTCTTTATTTTGTTCCTTTTTAAAATACAATTAAGTTCTTTACTTTAAGACGATTTCTTATCATCGGTGGCATTAAAAAGTACACCCAACCTCACACCATTTCAAAATTGGAAAGAAAGTGGTCCGCCTTTGTTCGATCCACGGGCGAATACATCATGTCCGCCACGACAACACAAATAAGAATCCTTTACTATTGTTAGATTTCTAAACAAATTTTATCTACAATTCATCATCAAATTTATTTCTCAAAATTAAAATGTAAAAAAAAAAAAATAAAAAATAAAAAGGAAATCTCAACAAAACTTGATAAAATCCCATTGGTCACACGAGATCACGTGACAGTGATAAAATCCCATTGGTCACACGAGATCACGTGACAGTGATAAAATCCCATTGGTCACACGAGATCACGTGACAGTGATAAAATCCCATTGGTCACACGAGATCACGTGACAGTGATAAAATCCCATGAAAGGGAAAAAAAATCTTCCCCCCCCCCCCCCCCCCCAGAGCATGTGAGGTGGTTTTTATAAAACCGTTTCAAAATAACTGAATTTAGAGTAGAAGTATTTTATAGGCACACTTTTAGTGTACATGTCGCCAAGTTTCTATTCACACAATCATTGTAGAAAAACATGCATTTAATATGCAGGTTAGAATTATTATTTTTCTTTTAAAATCCGTTTCTCTCGGGCAACCTTCATAAATGAAATAAAAAGTAAATAAAAAAAAAGCAATTTTATTTCGATATTGAAAAGGGTTTAAGTCGATAATTTAAAAATACAATTAAAACTCCAAACAGACGAAAAGAGAAAATAAACATGCAAAGAAATAATAAACAAAAAGAGATATTTCTTAAAAACGTCGCCGCACGATGACAGTAGAACAGTTTTATCCCATTTACAAAGAAATGTAACATCGTGAATAATGTAAGTAGTTTAGAGCGCTAAATGTGTTCCAGTTAATGATCATACGATCCAAGCTGTGATCTTTAGTGAACATGATTAATAAGACGTAGCAGTAGCACAAATAGGGACAATCCAAGGGAGGGAACCACGACCGCACTTGATCCCGTTGACGGGTTCAAAACTTGAGAGTGAATGTTCGTGAAAAATATTGAGTAGTTATTGACAACGGTGGCCCTGGTGGGGAAAAAGAAAAAAGTTTGATAAGGTTAAAGAACAAAGAGAGAGAGAGAGTAGATCTATAAATTATTTGAGTTGTTTAAACTAGTCTAAATTTTTTAAATTTAGAATGATGATTCATTTTTATTCTATGAAATGCGATGAGTTAATTGACAGGTTGAACACTGAAGACATTAAATATTAATGGGTTAATTTCAATTAGATCATAACTGAGTTTTCCCTCAGATAAAACCTTTTTGTCTTTACTCATTTCATGCCAGATAACAATTACTTCTGACATTAATTACCATGGCACACCACCTGGCTTTGAATGGCACCATGGCACACTACCTGACATTGAATGGCATTATGGCACACCATCTGGCAATACATGGCACCATGGCACACCACCTGACATTGCATGGCACCATGGCCCACCACCTGACATTGAATAGCGCACCACCTGACATTGAATGGCACACCACCTGACATTGAATGGCACACCACCTGACATTGAATGGCACCATGACTCAAACCTGAGATGTCATGTCATGACCCAACACCTGAGATGTCATGTTATGACCCAACACCTGAGATTTCATGCCTGACACAGCATCTGGAATTTTATTCCGTGACCCAAAACTCAAATTTCATGCCATAAACCAAAACCCGACATTTGTACCACCACACCACTAGAACATGTTAATTGATAAACATGACACCAGTCTTTGGGTCAATTTCGAAACTTGTCATACCGGCCGGCCAACATTCAAAGTTTTGATAGACTGATAGACAATGGGAGAGCAATGATTTACAGCAAAGGAAGGGAGATCACTCAGAATGTACCAGAGTTTTAATTATTTCACGATAGCGAACCCTTTTCTTTAACAAAAGAAAACTTTTCATTTTCACCAACGATGTCTCGTCTCTGTTTTCAGCAAATATTAACGATTTATCTCTTATGCCAAAGACTTATTTTAAAAAAAAAACAACAACAACAAAAAGAAAAACTTTGTTATTGTTACAATTAAGGCCCACTTTCAAACAACCTTCTACCTACCACCCTCTACCTACCACCCTCTACCCTCTACCCACCACCCTCTACCCACCACCCTCTAACCACCACCCTCTACCACCACCCTCTACCCACCACCCTCTACCCACCACCCTCTACCCAACCACCCTCTACCCACCACCCCCTACCCACCACCCTCTACCCACCACCCTCTACCTACTACCCTCTACCTACCACCCTCTATCATCCTCTACCTACCACCCTCTACCTACCACCCTCTACCTCCCCACACTCCCACACAAAGGAAATGCGTCATACTAGCTTCACTGCATGGTGACGATGCACAACATTATTGATAGCTTTAACATGCTCTGGCAACACTTACTTGAATTGTATGTTATAAACCTTGGTACTAGGAGCCATCCACACGACGGATGTGTTGTACCGTTCCACGTTGTTGGAATGAGTGATTCCCTGGGAGCTCTATCAAGGAGAATAATATTTACTCATTATCTTGTACATGACAGCTCATTAAATTTAGCACTCTCGAGGGAGCTTACTCCGTTAAAGTAAACGTACTAAGTGCTCACCGTGGACATACGCTTTTAAAATGAAAAAAAAATGAAATATATTTTTTTGGTTTTGTGGGGGNTGCACACCATTATTTTGGGTTGGGATTGGGTCGGTCATAGCATATAGATTAAAATGTGTCCATTGAGGACAGTAAAGCACTGCTTTGAAAATTTCGCTCACTTTTCTTCACAGACGAGGAATCACTTAATCAATCAGGGTGTGGGTGAATGACAACAAAAGCTACTTCAACGTTATTTTTTGGCTTCAAACTCAATTAACGTAAAAAAATGTATTTAATTTATATGATGATTTCCCCCCCCCCCCCATACACACACAAACACACGCACACACACACACACACGAACGGGTCTACATTGCTACGATATTTTCCTAGTCAAGGTCATCATCCAGTCCAGACTTACACATCTGGTGGTGACGTTGTTGCTGCTGTCCGCCGTGAACGTCCCGTACCGTGTACCACTCGTGTCGTTGGCTCTCCGGGCCTGGAGGAAAAATCCCTCGTAGTCGTGGGACTGGTCAGCGCTGATGGTCACTGGGATGACAGAGGAGAGAGAGATTCAATCTTAAACTTACAAGTTTGAAACATCACAATTTTAGTAATCTTGTGATTTGTTTAATTTCTAAATTTTTTTTTTTAGTGTTGAAAAGGGTAAAGAATGCGGGGCCTACTATGTCTTTTTACAAAACTAGAATAACAAGTTTTTACTTTGAACAAAAGAACTCTGCTTATTTCTTCATTTACAAAAACAAATAGCATTTTCATGTGGTAACCTTGTTAGCTAAAGGATGTTCAATATATAGTCACTCACCTGTAACATGGCCATTTGGCTCAACATGAAGTCACTCACCTGTAACATGGCCATTTGTACCAACATGAAGTCACTCACCTGTGACATGACCACTAGGCTCAACATGAAGTCACTCACCTGTAACATGGCCAATTGTACCAACATGAAGTCACTCACCTGTGACATGGCCATTAGGCTCAACATGAAGTCACCTGTAACATGGCTATTTCTACCAACATGAAGTCACTCACCTGTAACATGGCCATTTGTACCAACATAAAGTCACTCACCTGTAACATGGCCATTTGTACCAATGTGAAGTCACTCACCTGTAACATGGTCATTTGTACCAACAAGAAGTCACTCACCTGTAACATGGTCATTTGTACCAACAAGAAGTCACTCACCTGTAACATGGCCATTTGTACCAACATGAAGTCACTCACCTGTAACATGGCCATTTGTACCTACATGATGTCACTCACCTGTAACATGGCCATTCGGCTCAACATCGGTAGTGCTGACGAGGACAGTGTAGTAGGGAGTGGTGGTCTGTGGTTGTAGCAGGGGCGTGTTGCTGTTGTCCTCGTCTGCGTGATGCAGGGGTATCATGTCGCTGCAAGACTCTTCTGGCGCCCCGTTAGGATACATCCGAACACGCCCGACTGCCAGAAAGGTCACCATCAAGATGAAAGACACTCGCGCGGACGTGAGTGACGTAATATGGGCAGTCATCTATAGGAATATATTCATGCAAAGAAACTGATGATGCCTTCAACATAGAACATGGAACAGACATTGTTTCGTTTCAATTACATGTACTTTTGTTTTTTTGTTTTTTTTTTGGTTAAACTTTTCCCCCCCCCCCCCCCACCCCCCCACAAATATTNCCAATGAATGGCAAACCAATGAATGGCAAACCAATGAATGGCAAACCAATGAATGGCAAACCAATGAATGGCAAACCAATGAATGGCAAACCAATGAATGGCAAACCAATGAATGGCAAACCAATGAATGGCAAACCAATGAATGGCAAACCAATGAATGGCAAACCAATGAATGGCAAACCAATGAATGGCAAACCAATGAATGGCAAACCAATGAATGGCAAACCAATGAATGGCAAACCAATGAATGGCAAACCAATGAATGGCAAACCAATGAATGGCAAACCAATGAATGGCAAACCAATGAATGGCAAACCAATGAATGGCAAACCAATGAATGGCAAACCAATGAATGGCAAACCAATGAATGGCAAACCAATGAATGGCAAACCAATGAATGGCAAACCTATTCTTATCATTATTCAGGTAGTTCCGCCACTCGCATGTTTAAAAAATAAATTATTATATACTATATTAAATTAAAGAGACAACTAAACAAAGTTCAGCAAATCAAAACAAATTAAGCCAAACTATCATTTTATGTTAAATTATGTCATGTTATGTCATAATTAACAGTATGTCCAATTATGCTATGTCTCATTACCGGTATGTTGAATATTACCGGCTTTGTAACAGGATTACCGTATCAAACTGCTCCATTTGTAACAAAACGAACTTGGGTCATTTCGATACTGATTTCGATTCCATAGACTCTTGACTATTTCTTCTGATCTATTATAGCTGAAGAACACCTTTATGTCGCTCTATGAACTGTTTACGTGACATATTGTCATATTCAATACGGAGACGATGTCATTGCTCGTAAGAGCTGGGTGTCATTTTAGTCGTGGACAATATGTGACAGCTGTCAATGTTGTCAACATTTTAAACATGTTACAGTAAATGGCGGAAAGGTAACTGAGATGTCATGATGTGCGTCTGCTTCACATCTTAGAATAGAATCTGTGCCCGTGACGTTTGCTTCACATCTTAGAATAGAATATGTGTACGTAACGTCTGCTTTAAGGAACAAGGTTAAAAAGAGATGGCCTTGAACTTGGAAACAATTTTATGGTGTTAAAAAATTGCCCTTCGTCACTCGTGTGTTGAAAAGAAATCGTGACCACTGTAAGAGTTACATCCCATTCGAGAATTCAAAATGGCGTCAATGCCTGAATGACATTATTGTGTCTGGTCGCTTTTCAATGAATTTTGCAGCGCATTTTTTGAATCTATTCATTGAAATATTTGAACATGCATATGTCCTAGGATATTATTTATTATATGTGTTAGGATACTATACATTATATGTGCTAGGATAATATACATTATATGTGCTGGGATAATATACATTATATGTGCTAGGAAATTATACATTATATGTGCTGCAATATCATACCTTATGTGTGCTAGGATATTATACATTATATTTGCTAGGATATTATACATTAAATGTGCTAGGATATTATTTATTATATGTGCTAGGATATGATATACTTTATGTGCGAGGATACTATACATTATATGTACAACTATATAATTCATTTACGCAAAAAAATTAAATGGCCCCACATTCCTTTTCTAAAGAGGTCACCATCACCAACTTTACCAAACCGATGTTGTTTAAAAGATTGGAGAGTTCAGAAAATATCAACGATTGCGTCATCAAATGTGAAACTAAAAGTTGTGGCAATATTTATGAGTTACATTTGGTATAAGTCACGCCCCATTACAAAATGACATTTGGTATAAGTCACGCCCCGTTACAAAATGACATTTGGTGTAAGTCACGCCCCGTTACAAAATGACATTTAGTATAAGTCACGCCCCGTAACTAAGTTATATTTGGTATAAGTCACGCCCCGTTACAAAGTTACATTTGGTGTAAGTCACGCCCCGTTACAAAGTTACATTGGTGTACGACCACGCCCCGGTGTGTTCCCAGGAGTTGGCGTCAGCAGGGCAAATCGCTATCTTTTTTAAATCGATGTATTTTAATGGCGTTATTTACGACATTTTTTTAAAGAGGTTGTGGAATAATTTTAAAATGTATCAATGAAAACTGCGCGCCACATAGTTCGCAGTACGCACCATACAATAGGGCATTCCCAATATCGCGGCCTGAGAGAGTAACCATACAACACTGCCACTGTACGCAATAACAGCAGACAAAGGGTACTATTTCTACCTAGAATGCGCACCGAAGGGATCCAGATCAGAAAGGTTTGTAAAATAACTAAATTATTTTTATTATTGTTTTATTTTTGTTTAATTAAGAAAGGTTTAAATGTTTTTAAATTCTAAAATTAATGGCATTTAAATCAAAAACATATTTCTGAAATGTTATATTTGCTTTTTTGAGGTAACTTGATCAGGTGGAAATACATTTTATACCAGTAAGTATACCTGGTGTCAATGTTAAATTAGGGCGCCTCTTTATATTTGGTGTTAAATCAGGGCGCCTCTTCATATTTGGTGTTAAATCAGGGCGCCTCTTTATATTTGGTGTTAATGTTAAATCAGGGCGCCGCTTTATAATTGGTGTTAATGTTAAATCAGGGTGCCTCTTTATATTTGGTGTTAATGTTAAATCAGGGCGCCTCTTTATATTTGGTGTTTATGTTAAATCAGGGCGCCTATTTATATTTGGTGTTAATATTAAATCAGGGCGCTCCTTTATATGTGATGCCAATGTTAAGCTAACAATTACAAGCATTTTTCAGTTAACAAAACTTAATACAATTTGTTTTATTTTTATGAAGAACATTGATATGTCCAAACATTGTGTTGTATATAGAAGGAAATTCTCTATTGCCATCAAACAAAATATATGTAACATAAGCTTATACCAAGTTAAACAAAATATGTGAAAATAACCTTAGACCACATTACACATAATCTATAAAGGATAACCGTCTACCAGGTTAAACAAGTTATGTGCAAATAATCTTATATCAAGTTAAAAACATTATATAAAGCATTACTTTATACCATGTTAATCAAAATATGTGATTGTTAAAAGAATATTTGATGAATTTACTTTTTTAACTCCAAGATCTCCCTTGAGACTACCTCTTGTTGTCGCCGTGTGGATCTCGTCTACCTATCACGGGTGTACACCCCAGTGCCCAGCCACCCAGTTTTCAGACAGTCATGCAGTCGGTTGTCACGACATCATCTGGGCAATTCTCTTCCTGCCTGTGTCGCCACCGAGACCGTGGGAACATCAAGAGTCCACAAATGGTTTCATCCCCCCCCCCACCCCACAGAACTGTAAAAATAATTTTCTGAATTGTTTAAATTTTCTTTTCATAACGGCCAGTGGTTCTTATCCTAGAGTTCAGATAGAGATGTTTTGAGAATAAAACCGGTGGGTCCACGTGTTCCCGGTGGGTCCAAGCGTTCCCGGTGGGTCCAAGTGTTCCCAGTGGGTCCGAGTGTTCCCAGTGGGTCCAAGTGTTCCCGGTGGGTCCAAGTGTTCCCGGTGGGTCCGAGTGTTCCCGGTGGGTCCGAGTGTTCCCAGTGGGTTCAAGTGTTCCCGGTGGGTCCAAGTGTTCCCGGTGGGTCCGAGTGTTCCCGGTGGGTCCCAGTGTGCCCGGTGGGTCCAAGTGTTCCCGGTGGGTCCAAGTGTTCCCGGTGGGTCCAAGTGTTCCCGGTGAGTCCGAGGGTAAAAAAAAAAAGACATTTGCATTTTCATTTGCGACCACTTCTTTATGTCAACCTGGATTTTGGGTGGTCGCTGTGACACAAAGACAGTGTCACAAGAAACATGTGGAGGAAATGAGGATGGCTGTGACCAATTTGAGAATAGCTGAATCCAGTTTGAGGGTGGCTGTGTCCATTTTAAGGCTGGCTGTGTTCATTTTGAGGGTGTCTGTGTCCAGTTTGAGGTTGGTTCTGTTCAGTTTGTTGGTGGCTGTGTCCAGTTTGAGGTTGGTTCTGTTCAGTTTGTGGGTGGCTGTGTCCAGTTTGAGGTTGGTTCTGTTCAGTTTGTGGGTGGCTGTGTCCAGTTTGAGGGCGGCTATGTCCATTTTCTTTTAATTTAATCCGTGATGGGAGCATTTCAGATTTTCTGGGGGCGGTGCCAGAGGTATAGCTAAGGGGTAGTAGATGGGACAGACGTCTCTAACTGCCTGCCTAGTGGGAGCACAATAACATATAGAGGGCTTTGATAATATTTAATTGTTTAAATTATTTGTTTCAGAGTGTGGGGCATACAAATGAATCTTGTCCCCGGACGCCAAACACAAAAGAAATTTGACGAAAATTTTAACGTGTGAACTAAAAAAAGATTCGATAAATTTTCCGTTAGAGAAATTTCCGTCGATCGATTTTCCGTCGACGAAATTTCTTTCGATCAAATTTCCGGTAACCCATTGGAAACTGTTGACCTTCCCAAATTTTGCGACCCAAGCTTCTGAGATCGACTCTCGACAAACACATTTAAGAATTGACGTTCTGTGTCGCAATCTGTATCAATATATTTTTTAAAAACGTAATAATGTACTATAGTCAATTTATATGAACGACAGATTTCTACGGCTTCTTTGAGAATGCAGGTGGCGTCTTAAAACCAGCCAGACGCTAACAACTCACATGAACAAAAGACCAGTTTGGAGGTGTGCAGAAATTTATTAAATAATTTTTGTGTTTGTCTCTCTTATTACTTCTGACATTTTAACATCGGGGCTCGGTGACATTGTGACATTTTAATATTTTAACATTGTAACACTGTAACACTGTGACATTGTGACACTGTGACATTGTGACATTTCAACATGTGACACTGTGGCATTTTCCATTGTGACACTGTGAGGTCTGTTGAAACATTCAAGTGTGCGGGTATTCATATAAGGCACTTGTCATGCATCACAAATGATTTTGATAAAAAAAAAAATTAATTCAATGCGTCTGCTCTATAATCCACCGAGTTAACAAATCCACCGGGGATGTCAACAAATCTACCGGGTATGCCAACAAATCCAACGGATATGTAAAAAAGTCCACCGGATATGTCAACAAATCCACCAGTTATGTCAAAAAATCCCCCCCTCCGGTTATGTCAACAAATCCAACCGGATTATCAACAATATCGTCGATGCTATCCAACGTAATCCAGCAGATCCATCGTGCCAGGCGTGGATCATCCGTGTTGCCACATCTCGTTATCATTCATTGAAGAACTTTTCGACGCATGACCAAATCAACAACAAACGGTGAACGTGCGTCAACAAAAACAACAATCACTACTCTTAATAAGATATCGATCAGTATTTAGGTGTCTCTGAAATGTACGCTGGTCGCATATTCGTGAAGATTTTGTGACACTTGACCTCAACATTTTATTGTAAACAATGTTGGTGTAACAAAATGAGATGACGAAAAATGAACAAATTTCCGGTCACGTGACATGAGCAACGTGAACATTTTTATATTTTCTCAATCTCTCGTTGACGTGGCAAATCTTAAAAAAAACAAAAAAACAAGCAAGAGCTTAAAGTAAAAAAAATAAATTTTAATGTCGTTGTTGATGACGTTGCTGATGACGTTGTTGATGACGTTGTTGATGAAATTGTTGAGGACGTTGTTGATGAAGTTGTTGATAACGTTGTTGATGAATTTGCTGCTGACGTTGTTGATGACTTTGTTGATGACGTTGTTGATGACGTTGTTGATGACGCTGTATCAAAATCACCGACAATTTGTGGACACTGTATATCAAAATGCTACAGGGTGGCTCTGTCTCACCAAATCACCTATTCACATATAAACAGACACATATAGAGTAGCTTGTGAATTCTAAATTGCATTTTTTTTGTTGTTGGTATCATTTGAACGTAACAAAATCTGAAAACTAAAATTGATTGGATATTATTTTAAAACGTGCACTGGGTTTCAAATTTTATTTTATTTCGGTTCCCTTAAGCCAGTGGTTCTCAACCTTTCTAATGCCGCGACCCTTTAATACATTTCCTCATGTTGTTGCGACCCCCAACCACAAACATTATTTTCGTTAATACTTTACAACTGTAGAGTATAATTATGTGTTTTCAGATGGTCTTAGGCGACCCTTGTGAAAGGGTCGTGCGACCCCCCGCCCCCCAAAAAAAAATGCGACCAAAGTTCTCTTTCAGCTGCGCGGCTATCTCACAGACGCCGCGCAGCAGTTTCGAGTATCCGCGCAGCAAATTTCCATGTAAGTGTATGTTTGTGTTTTTGGGCTGTAAGATTTTGCACGAATAAAAATTGTTGCTGTAAAACTTTGCACACAGCTGCAGGATGTTGCACACGAACCAACACACCTTAGAGGGAACATTGCTTGCGACCCCACAGGTTGAGAACCGCTGCCTTAAGCCCACCCCAGCCCCGGGTCCTGTTTGCTCTGGCGAACCTTGTTCACCCAGCGTGTCTATTGACAGGCGTCACAAGAGCTGTACACGGGGACATTTGACATTGTCAATCCCTCGGGTCACCGAGTGCATGTGGCTTACTCCCGACACACGGTCACCTGTTAACATGTCAGCGCCATGATTACAAGCTTGACAGCAAGTGTGACAGTAAGTGCTGCGGACGGAATGACTGTCACACCAGCACCTGTGTGGTGCATCAGTTCCTGGGAGTGAACGTTCATGAAGAAGCTGCGATAACCTTTGACGACGGTGGCTCTGAGGAATAATATGATAAGAGTAAAGTTAGATCAGCGAGGTTGGATTACTGAGTTTGGATAAATGTGTTTGCATTAGTGAGTTTGGGGTCAGTGAGTTTGGATTATTGCGTTAAGATTAGTGCGTTTGGATTAGTGAATTTGGATTAGTGAGTTTGGATAAGTGAGTTTGGATTAGGGAGTTTGGATTAGTGCGTTTGGATTAGTGCGATTGGATTAGTGAGTTTGGATTAGTGAGTTTGGATTAGTGAGTTTGGATTAGTGCGATTGGATTAGTGAGTTTGGATTAGTGTGTTTGGATTAGTGCGTTTGGATTAGTGAGTTTGGATTAGTGCCTTTGGCTTAGTGAGTTTGGATTAGTGAGTTTGGATTAGTGAGTTTGGATTAGTGAGTTTGGATTAGTGAGTTTTAGTGAGTTTGGATTAGTGAGTTTGGATTAGTGAGTTTGGTTTAGTGCGTTTGGATTAGTGCGATTGGATTAGTGAGTTTGGATTAGTGAGTTTGGATTAGTGAGTTTGGATTAGTGCGATTGGATTAGTGAGTTTGGATTAGTGTGTTTGGATTAGTGCGTTTGGATTAGTGAGTTTGGATTAGTGAGTTTGGCTTAGTGAGTTTGGATTAGTGAGTTTGGATTAGTGAGTTTGGATTAGTGAGTTTGGATTAGTGAGTTTGGATTAGTGAGTTTTAGTGAGTTTGGATTAGTGAGTTTGGATTAGTGAGTTTGGTTTAGTGCGTTTGGATTAGTGAGTTTGGATTAGTGAGTTTGGATTAGTGAGTTTGGATTAGTGCGTTAAGATTAGTGCGTTTGGATTAGTGAGTTTGGATTAGTGAGTTTGGATTAGTGCGATTGGATTAGTGCATTTGGATTAGTGTGTTTGGATTAGTGCGTTTGGATTAGTGAGTTTGGATTAGTGCCTTTGGATTAGTGAGTTTGGATAAGTGCCTTTGGATTAGTCAGTTTGGATTAGTGAGTTTGCATTAGTGAGTTTGGATTAGTGAGTTTGGATTAGTGAGTTTGGATAAGTGTGTTTGGATTAGTGAGCTTGAATACGTGAGCTGTCAATAATGAGATTGGACTAAGTTGGACTAGCGGGATTGGTATCTAATTAATTAAAGACCACTTCATAAATACATAATACATAATTTCAGAATTTGGTTAATTGTCCTTTCCTGATCTAACATCAGATATAGGGCAGATTCAAGCTCAATCAAACTCTTAAAATTTTACAAGTCAAAGTCCAGTCCTCTTTGGATTTGTTGTTCAAGATCTAGATGTATTCCCGCAGCTGTAGTTTCAATTAGAGACCGACCGAATTTCGGCTTCGGCTTCGGTTTCGGCGCCGAAAGTGGCCATTTTATCACGTTCGGCCAAGTTTCGTTTTCGGCCGAAAATGAAAGTTAACTTTTGGCTTAATTTCGGTTTCTGCCGAAAGAGAAAGTTAACTTTCGTTTTTTTTTCAGTTTCGGCCGAAATTGACTTAGACTTTCGGCCATCCGACCGAAAGTGACTGAGGTTTTCGATCATCTAATTCTCAGCAAAAGCGATCTTTAACAACAAACTAAGTGACATTTAAGAACAAATTAAGCGATCTTTACGAACAAACTAAACGATCTTTAAAAACAAATAAAGCGATCTTTAAGAACAAATTAAGCGCTCTTTTAGAACAAACTAAAAGATATTTAACAACAAACTAAGCGACATTGAAGAACAAACTAAACGCTCTTTAAAATAAACTAAGCGATCTTTAAGAACAATCTAAGCTATCTTTAATTAAAAACTAAACGATCTTAAAGAACAAACTAAGCGATTTTTAAGAACAAACCAAATGATCTTTAAAAACAAAACAAATGATCTTTAATAGTAAACTAAATAATCTTTAAGAACAAACTAAACGATCTTAAGGAACAAAATCAATTATCTATAAGAAAAAACTAAGCGATCTTCAACAACAAAATAAGCGATCTTTAAGAACAAACTAAACGATTTTTAATAACAAACTGAAAGATCTTTAAGAACAAACGGAATAATCTTTAAGAACAAACTGAATGATCTTTAAGAACAAACAAGCGATATTTAAGAACAAAATCAATTACCTTTAAGAACAAACTTAGCGATCTTTTTTGAACAAACTAAATGATCTTTAATAAAAAAAAACTAAAAGACCTTTAAACAAAAACTAAGTGATCTTTAAGAACAAACTAAGCGATCTTAAAAAAAAAAAAAAATAAACGATTTTTAACAATAAACTAAGCGATCTTTATGAACAAACTAACCGAACTTTAAGAACAAATAAAGCGATCATTAACAAAAAACTGAACGATCTTTAACAACAAACTAAGCGATCTTTAAGAACAAACTAAACGATCTTTAACAACAAGATGTTATATTAGATGTTTATTTATTGATAGTCACGATTATCTAATTTTTTATAAAAAGAATGTAAATATTTATACTTTCCCCAATCATTTTCGATGTATGCAGAATGTATGCGGGAACGAATTTCAAAATATCTAAATATTTCATTTTCGGTTTCGTTTCTGCCGAAAGTCATTTTTAACTTTCGGCCTTTTTTCGGTTTCGGCTGAAAGTCATTTTTAAACTTTCGGCCTATTTTCGGCTTAGGCAGAAATCAGAAAATCACTTACGGTCGGTCTCTAGTTTCAATGGTAACGCAACATCCAGTCTTGCGTAGAGAGATTTTTAATTCCATTCCGCGTTGCCTGCTGTCTTCCTACCTCGGTGGTTGAAGGCGCTACAACACCCCCCCCCCACGCCAACATTACTGTTTTAAGAGTCCGAACTCAGGCCACCACAATCTCCCCAAAACTTCATGCTTTGAGAGTCTGGGGTTGGGGCGTCTTCTGATGAATTCAAAACAAAAAATTTGCTGGAAGTTGAAATTCCCATTGTGCCAAGTCTGGCCGTCCAGCCTGGCCACCAAGTTAGTCTGCCATGTCGGGCCGTCGAGTCTGGCCACCAATTTGGTCTGCCATGTCGGGCCGTTGAGTATGGCCACCAATTCGGTCTGCCATGTCAGGCCGTTGAGTATGGCCACCAAGTCGGGCTGCCAAGTCGGGCCGTCGAGTATGGCCACCGAGTCAGGCCGCCAAGTCGTCGGGCCGTTGAGTATGGCCACCAATTCGGTCTGCCATGTCAGGCCGTTGAGTATGGCCACCAAGTCGGTCTGCCATGTCGGGCCGTTGAGTATGGCCACCAAGTCGGTCTGCCATGTCGGGCCGTTGAGCATGGCCACCAATTCGGTCTGCCATGTCGGGCTGTTGAGTATGGCCACCAAGTCGGTCTGCCATGTCGGGCCGTTGAGTCTGGCCATCGAGTATGGCCACCAATTCGGTCTGCCATGTCGGGCCGTTGAGTATCGCCACCAAGTCGGTCTGCCATGTCGGGCCGTTGAGTCTGGCCGTCGAGTCTGGCCACTAATTCGGTCTGCCAAGTCTGGCCGTCGAGTATTGACGCCAAAAACAATGAACCGATGATTGCAATAAGTTCTGGCTGTTAGTTTAATGGGACTACCAAAAATCCTCTAAGATTACATTAACACAACTAGATTAAATTTGATCTCGTTGCTTACTTGAACTGGACAGTCCCAAAATGTTCGCTAGGTGCCACCCAGATAACTGTGATGTTGTTCCATTTCTTGTGCATGGCCTGAGTTATCCCTTGACTGTTCTGGAAACAAAAAAAAAACTCGCACAATTTTGAATAGAGCAAAGCCATCAGAGGCGTTTACGTTGAGAAAAATAATGGGTTTAACAATTAGATTACTACGCGTGAAGAATTCGACAACTCGGTCCCGAATAAAAAGATCTCCACGATAAAACGAGCTTTCCTTGTGTTTACTGCTGTTTTTTTAAAAATCGTTTATTAAATGCTATCTTAGTAAGAGACCAGACCAAGTTTTCTAATACAATTGAAGCTTTTAGTTTGACATGACACACAAAACAATATTGTTTGGAATGTGCATCTATTATCGTCGAATATCATTATTTGAAGGTGTTCTGAAAAATCTTAAAGTCACATGAGATTTAATAAAAAAAATGATCTCTTTAATTCAATAATTTAAACTAGCTCAAAAAAAGCAGATACAAATTTCATGATATTGTGCATAATATGACCATGGCCGGGTTGCTGTATGCGGACGACCGACTGTTACCATCTGGTGAACCACTTGCCCTGACGTCACGTGCACCAACTTACACAGAAAGTCTTTGCCTCTGTCACGTTGACCGACTTGAAGGTCCCGTATTTCTTAACTGGAGAGCCTTTGACCTCGCTAACATCCCGGGCTTGTAGCGCAAACCCCTCGAAATAATTCTTGTCGGCTTTCAGAAACACTGGAAAAGATGTCAACCAAATTCTTGTACTTTAACGAATGACTGATTAAACAAATACAAAGCTTGTTATAGGATACAATTCTAATATCTTTTAGGATTGATTGGACTATTTTATCAAGTTGGTCCGAGTCAGTGGTTCTCAAGCTGTCCCTTAGGGTCGTTTCATCCGAAGAAATAATTTATTCTCTGTTTCCCACCCAAGTATGCCAAAACGTCCGTTAAACAAACGGAAGTCTGTAAAACATTTGACTTCAATGTCTTGACCATAAAAGTCCCCAAGATCTTTAGGGGGGGGGGGTGGGGGTCTATAAAAAATGCGACAGTCCACAGACATCTCTTGAAGCCAAAACAAAGTGAGAAGTATCAACGTTTGTGATGTGGGATCGTTGCTTTTAATTAGACTTGCGTGAACATCAGGAGACATGAAGCTCTGATGGGAATTAATTCATTAGATGCCGTTATTAAGTATACAATTTTTATTAAGAAAATTAAACAACATATAAAAAAAAGTATAAAACCTTAATAAAATGTAATATTGAGAAATGGGGGTGGGGGTAAAAAATTTGACAAAACACGGATGCAAGTAACGCCCGTTATAAGAATCCAAATTTGTCGTCCCCCCCCCCCCCCGACTCGTAAGCGCACGCACGTTTTTTCCCACCCTTGAACTATATTAATATTCCATTGACCCGCCCGCCTTTACACCGCAGATTTATTTCACAAAACTCGTTCAGAAAAATAAAATAAAATATTACGCACCAAAAGCACTTGCGTTATTTAAAAATAGAAATAAGAATCTCATATGGTGCCGTTATCGGGAAAAACGTGTCATCATTTTCCCCTTCATCTTCCCCTTGCGACACAGGGAAAAACCTATTTTTGGGGGGTGAGGTGGTGAGGCTGAAGATTTGAAAGGATGTGTCGTCATCGGCAACGAGTCTGGTCACCCAGTTTTATCTCGATAGGCTGACGCGAAGTGGGCCAATTAGCCGTCCGCGAAGGATTTAGACACTAACAAAAATACGTCGCTAATAAAGCAAACAAAAGCAATGGGGGCCATCGCAGATTGGGCAACAAGGCAAATTTGCATGGAGCTCAATCAGTTCACGGGGCACAACGGAAATTTGGTCGAATCTTTTTATCAGTGCACACGTTTAAATTTTGCGTCAAATCTCTTTTTGACCGCATTATTTTGTTTTACTACATAATATCGTGCGTTCAAAAAGATATTTGACGAACATTTTAACGTGCTAACTGGAACAAAAAAAAAAGATTCGACCAAATTTCCATTCGATCAAATTTCCGTCGATCAATTTTCCGTCGACGCAATTTCTTTCGATCAAATTTCCGGTACTCAGTGAATTTTGGGCAAGACATATTGCTATATTCAGGCGGGAAACAAAATTCAGCAAAATGAAAGTTTGAAAAAATTGTGCGTGAACAGTAATTATGTTTTATTACCTACCACGTGATCCCCAGGTTTAACCTTGGTAATTATTCGTTGTCCACGTAATTTCCGTGTTTAAAAATGGACATTATATTACTGTCTACGTAAACCTCGGGTTTAACCGTGGTTAGTATCTTACCTTATACGTGATTCCCAGGTTTAACCGTGGTTAGCATCTTACCGTATAAGTGATCTCCAGGTTTAACCGTGGTTAGTATCTTACCTTCCCAGGAATCCCCAGGTTTAACCGTGGTTAGTATCTTACCTTCCCAGGAATCCCCAGGTTTAACCGTGGTTAGCAATCTTACCTTCCACGTGATCCCCAGGTCTAACCGTGGTTAGGATCTTACCTTCCACGTGATCCCCAGGTTTAACCGTGGTGGTGTTCACGTGGATGCTAAAATAAAGTTCTTCTCTGAGAGGCTCCACCAGGGGCGTGCTGTCATTTCCCTTCACTTGATAATGTGAGGGGCGCATACTGTCACAGGTGGAGTCTGGCGCCCCATTCTCGAATGCACCCACTCGGCAAACAGTGATGGCGGCTACAGCCAGCACAGTGATAAAACGACATACTTGGGACGTCATGTCTGCTGCAGACAAAATAGATCATTGTAAGCGTTAACTAAACTTTGAGCAGGAATTTATCTAGATTAAAAACAACATGTATGACGTCCTACTGAGTTTTAATGACAATTATAGCGTCACGATAGCACCGTGACATTACTTGTGCGTCAAGATAGCACCGTGACATTACTTGTGCGTCAAGATAGCACCGTGTTATTACTTGTGCGTCAAGATAGCACTGTGACATTACTTGTGCGTCAAGATAGCACCGTGACATTACTTGTACGTTAAGATAGCACCGTGACATTATGTGTGCGTCAAGATTAAGTTTTGAGTTGTAGTCTAATTACAGGGTTAAGATCATACAGACCAGCTTGGAGCATTGCTCTTATGAGACAAGTATACACAGTAGGTACCTTACTTATGGCAATACGCACTTTGGAGACAAGTGTACATTTTAGTAACCTTTCTTGTGACAATACGCCCTTTTGAGACACGTGTACATTTTAGTTACCTTACTTATGACAATACACTCTTTTGAGACAAGTGTACATTTTAGTTAACTTACTTATGACAATACGCCCATTTGAGACACGTGTACATTGTAGTTACCTAACTTATGACAATACACTCTTTTGAGACAAGTGTATATTTTAGTTACCTTACTTATGACAATACGTCCTTTTGAGAAACGTGTACATTGTAGTTACCTTACTTATGACAATACACTCTTTTGAGACAAGTGTACATTGTAGTTACCTTACTTATGACAATACGCTCTTTTGAGTCAAGTGTACATTTTAGTTAACTTACTTATGACAATACACCCTTTTGAGACACGTGTACATTGTAGTTAACTTATGTTCAGCAATTTGTTGACAGAGAAACGTTAACATAACACTTTATTCTTTGGGAATAACACAATTTAAAAAAAGGCAATTTGACTTAAAGACAAATTTTTAAAAAATCTATCAGAAATAAATAAACGACAATAACGAAATGGTGTTTCCTTTAATATTATTATGATTATTATTATTATGATTATTATTATTATGATTATTATTTAATTCGTGTAATATTTCAAGCCTTTCTTTGTGATAATTCCAAGATGGAGGAGGGGCACAGGTAACAAAGAGGATATTGGACTGGTTTGGATCATCTTCTTATAGTTTTATAGTATTTGGTTAGAGTTGCCACCCGTGCACGTCATGTTACGTTATCTACATCCATGTCATTTGTGCTTGAAGTGTTCACAAGTTTCACCAAAAAAAATTTAGTTGAGCAGGCAGTAATTCCACGTTGAATAATTTTCTGCTCCCGTTGAAATCGATTTGACGCAACAGTTATCATTCAAGTGTCCTACTTTGATCGCCAACTTCAGTAAATCCGTTACAACATGGCCGCATGTCGTTAACATTTGTTTGCGAGGCATTCCTATTCTTACTGACGTAGCAGCTTCGGTTTGGTTCCACATTTTGTAAACTTTGTCAAAATGTCATCCCCCCCCCCCCCCCCCACATTTCCGAAATTTTAAAAAACCAAAAAAAAAAAAAAAAAAAAAAGTGTTTGTTATTCCTAATATTTAAATATCCAATAACATGAAGCCATGCATAACACGAGTCGTGACCTATAAATTTGTTTGCCAAACGTCACGATAGCATCAAACCACTTTGTACAAGACATAAATGAAACACATTGAAAGTTTTAAAAAGAAAGTCTTGTAGTTCAAAAAAAAAATGTCATAAAATAGTCTCGTCGAATAAATTGACATAAGTGCCTTGCGTACACCACAACCATGTTTGTGTAAGCTCGGGTCGCAATCCTAGTAGAGGAGAACGTTATGTTTTGTTTGCATCGCAGCCGTGACCCGATGCCCCTGTGCGTTTAACTGGGGTTATGAGGAAGGTAGAACAAAGTGGAAATAGCTCCGCCCGAGCCCTTTGTAGTGATTGCGTGAAACTCATTTAAAAATCCTAAAGCACACAGTAAAAGCACACATCCCCACAAGACAACTACGCTCTTCCATTGACAACAGAACCCTCTCAATCCCAAGAACCAAAACTAAGACCATCGGTGAACGCTGCTTCTACTTCCATGGGCCCACGTTCTGGAACCAGCTCCCCTTCAATATCCGTCATTGTGAAACCTCGTCCACTTTTAAAAAGTCCCTTAAAACCCATCTGTTTAGGTCCGCCTATGACCTGTGATGCACCCTCCTTGCCCTGCCTCATTTTCTGTCTCGGGTTGATCCTGCAGTATAGGCCAAAACGTGCCAAAGTGTCCTCGTTTTATAGCCATTTTCATTGTTTCTATAGTATAGTAGTTACTATCCTAATGTCTCATTTTTATTTTAGTTAGTTTACATGTTTTTAATAATTGTAAAGCGCTTAGAGCTTTAAGGTAAGCGCTATATAAAAATGCCTAAATAAATAAATAAATAAATAAATTAATTAAAAAAGTCATCTGTTGATTTAATTAAAAGTTAGAAGCTGAAGCTGGGGTCCATATGGATCTGAAGCAGTTAAATAATTTTTTTAAAAAAATGAATAGACTTATAGATTTGGTCCAGTGGTTCCCAATCTGGGTAACTAACTCCTTACACAAATTAACTGCCTAGTGATTTAAATTGATATCTTCGGATGTTGACCGGTGAATGAATGTAAGCCTGGACTGAATCGTTTGGATTGTTTTACACTTTCAACATAGCAAACAAAATGCATGCAAATATTATAAGAGCTATAATAATTCATGCAAATGTACTGGTCACAATGAAATTACACACATCTGTGGAAGATAGGTTTGTGTTTGCAATTATCTCACATGTTTTTTCAACATCAGACCTGACAGATGTTAAGGACAGATACTTTCAAAGATTTCACCCCAAAAAAACAGTTCATCTGTTTGTTTTAAACACAAATAAGATTATATTATTACACGAGTACGTCACGGGTGGGTGGGTGGATGGAAGGAGTACTCACTATGCATGTTTACTCAGAGGTGGCTAGTATCGATACTGATACTGTTAAATGGTGAGCGGACAACTAAACGCACGACAGGTGAACCTACGACAACTGAACCCACGACAACCGAACCCTTGACGGAAAAGTGACCACACAGGCATGTGACCACACAGACATGTGACCACACAGGCATGTGACCACACAGACCTGTGATCGTTTTGTTTATCTTGTGGTAGGTTGTCGTAGGTTCCCCTGTCGTGGGATCATTTGTCTGGGAGCCCTGTTAAATACCTTTAAATAACCCTTTAAATGCGTACCTTTTACAGTATCATTGCTCTAACCAGGCACAGGTATTATATTATATGAAACAAGTGTTTTGATATGTTGTTTTTTATGGGGGGGGGGATAATTGGCCTGTCGCCCGGAACAACGGATTGAGAACATGCGATGTACATCATCAAACCAATCAACGAACAGCCACACACCTGGGGTCAAGCAGCTTTGAGGTATTAACACATTGTGATGGATTACCTGGACGGATATAACGAACCAGTTTGTGGACAGTTAATGGACTGGTGACGTCATGGAATGCAAGTCATGATACTCAAAGATAAAAAAAAAATCATTTAAAAACCCCCCTGGTTGCATTGACCCGGAAGTACTGCACTAACGAACAGACCTGAAACAAGTCGTTGAGTTGATGCAGCTTGGTGGCGCCGCTGGAGTTGACACAAGGTAGAGACGTGGCCAGATGTAGGGGGAGGTGCTGGTAAGATAAAGGCATACGTTTTATCCTTAAATAATGAAAATGTTCAAGGGCGGAGTGATCACCCCCCAACCCCCCCCCCAAAAAAAAAAAAACAAAAAAAAAAAACAACAAACAAACAAACAACCAGTCTGTACGAATGTACCAGCGTGATGCCCCCCTCCCTCCCTTTGTTACCAAATCTAAATGATCACTAATTAAGTCATTATTATCAATAAAGGAGTTCATTTATGGCTGATTTCTACGTTAGAGAAATACTTAAGATGACTTGTGTTCAATTTGTTGTAATTGTAAAATGTTGTCTTGGTTTACAAATGTATTTATTTATTTATGTGATGAAAATGAATTGGTACAATGTAATTATAAAAAAAACAAAACATTTCCACTTATTTGGATCAATAAAGAATCTTATCTCATCAAAATCCTTGGATTAGCCGGAGTGTGCAGTTGGAGCATTTGCTTATAGGAGTAGATTTTGAAAAAGTTTGCCCCCGCCCCCTTCAATCTTGATTGATCGATCCATGTTAAAAAATAAAGCAATCTTCCACAGGCGCAGACGTTTACTGATCTGTCACGGACAAGTGTCTGACTACGCAGCCAAGAGTTCCGAATGTAAATACAAAATACACTTTTAAAGTTATTCTTTTTTCTATCGGTAGCGCAACATTTATGTTAAATAAACGAGAATATCAACCGCTCAATTGATTAAATTACTAATTGCGTCATGTAACAGAGAAGTGTGTCAGAATACAGCAGTTCTCCAATTACAAATGAGGTCGCTGGTTATGTATTTGTTTCAATATACGTCAAACCACGTTGATGTGCGATATTCGAGTACAGATGCAGTCCTAGATGTAAGCTGTCGCGTCAAAATCCTTTATATTAACTTCGCTTTTGTTCACGTGTTTATTTCTGACTGGATGTGTGGAAAACAACGTTGGACGGCTAATGGGCTCACTTCCCGTCAACCTATCGAGCTGAAACTTGGCACACACACTCGTTGACGCTGACTAATCATTCTTTCAAATTTTCTTCCCCACCCCAACCCCCCCAAAAATCAGCTTTTTTTTTTTTTTTTTTTTTTTTTTTTTTAAAGGGGAAGATGAAGGAAATATGATGTCACTGATTTCACGAAATAAAACTCCCGATAACTGTGATAAATGAGATTATTTGAACAAATATACCGCAAGGGCGTTTGATGCGTAATATTTTCTTTTGTTTTTTCTGAAATACATGGTGAAATAAATCTCTGGTGTAACAGCGGGTGGGCCATTAGAATATAAATGAGGCTCAGGGACGTGACAAAAATGTATGGTTGCGAGCCTTGTGGGGGGGGGGGTCGTTTTGGGGGGGGGGGAGCCACCAGGAAATGGGATTCTTATAAAGTGCCTTACTTGAATGCATGTTTTGTCACATTATCAGCAACCCCCCCCCCTCCCCATTACTCGATGTTACAGTTTGTAAAGGATTTATACCAAAAAAAACTTGGCCTTTAGGGTTTGATTAAATACATCTGAAAGGCGCTGTCTTAAATATTGGACGCGTACACCCTATTTCCAATATACGCTACGAAAATGAAAGAAAGTAGAAGTAAATGCCAATAGTGAAAAGTATACAACAGTAAATAGTTCGTTTTAAGTGAAACATAAAGAAAATAATATGATTATGTATTAATAAAATCTTTAACCGACCAAGTTTGTCTTGTAATCTATCGTGAGTTCGTTATCGAGAACTGTCAATAATGTTAATACTGTCAAAACTGTCAAGACTCAAGGGCCGTAATTAAAGTATGTGGGTCACAGCGTGCACACAAGATAACTTATGATTTATCTTCCCTTAGTTGGACGAGGCTTAACCTTTATGTTGCTGTTAATATAACCCCACCCGCCCACCAAACACACGCAACTCAACCAACACGCCAAACACAGGCACTCAAACAACACGCCAAACACACGCACTCAAACAACACGCCAAACACACGCACTCAACCAACACGCCAAACACAGGCACTCAACCAACACGCCAAACACAGGCACTCAAACAACACGCCAAACACACGCACTCAACCAACACGCCAAACACAGGCACTCAACCAACACGCCCAACACAGGCACTCAACCAACACGCCAAACACAGGCACTCAAACAACACGCCAAACACACGCACTCAAACAACACGCCAAACAAACGCACTCAACCAACACGCCAAACACAGGCACTCAAACAACACGCCAAACACACGCACTCAACCAACACGCCAAACACAGGCACTCAACCAACACGCCAAACACAGGCACTCAACCAACACGCCCAACACAGGCACTCAACCAACACGCCACACACAGGCACTCAAACAACACGCCAAACACAGGCACTCAAACAACACGCCAAACACAGGCACTCAACCAACAACACACCAAAACACGCACTCAAACAACACGCCAAACACACGCACTAAAATAACGTATTCGTGTTTTTATGATGCCTTGTTGGTAAAAGTAATTATCTAAAATAAAAAAAACAAAGATGAGTGTTGTGAACACTAGAAGATGATTGCACTCGGTGACACTACCTATGAAGAGAGCGCATTTCACAACAGTTCAACCATTTGTCAAGAATTTTTTTTTTTTTTAAATGTAAAAAAGTTTCCCACAATTCATCTGATTTAATACATCACGTTGATATTTTTAAAAAAAAACATAGTCCAATTTAAAAGATAACAACATTTTTTTTTTAAATTATAGGTCTTCATCTTTCTTTTCAATCTGCTTGTTAACTTCATCGCATAGATTGGTGTGTTTTAATATATGTAGAGGTATGCAGTTCTGCTAATTTTAAGAATTTTTTTTACACTTCTCCTTTACACACGTAATTGAAAAATCAATTTTAAAGTATTGTTAATCAAGAAACGAGTCTATCATTGTTTGCAAAATAAAAGAAGAACACGGCGAACACAACTTACCTGGTGGTTTTGTTGCTTGTACAGGTAATGACTTTACTAGTGGGCGATGTGGTGAGGTGAATGATGAATTAATGGCCTGGTCTCGGTCCGAGTACAAACTGACAGCTCAGAAATGCCCACGATGATTCTCGTCTAATGTTCCTATTGAAGAGAACATATGCTATTTTCTAGATAACATCAATTCTTGGGCGTAGCAAGAAATATTTAAAATGAAAATAAGTGTTTTTTTTTTTCTTTATTCTTTATTTCTCGTATATGCTTTTAATTGTTTCGCTGCCGTTTTGGGTAAGTTCTGGGGTTTAGTATCATTGTCAATGGGAATCACCGGCCTTGTCACTCAAACACGCCAAACTCTCGAACCAACTCTTGTAGACACCTACACCGGCCACCAATGGAGACAAACCTCCATTATTAATATTATGGTAACATTAAAACCCTTTCATAAATAATATTAGTGTTTCAAATGGTCTAACGATGACAAATATCTTATCATAAGTCATGCTATGATATTTATAAAACTTGTGAGAGGATACCAGTTTTTTAATTTATTTAAAGAATAAACATATCCCAAACGCTTTATTTTTGCAGGCTGAGAGTTGGAGTTGTGAAATATTAGCACCAAACACGTAATGCTACAGAAAAGATGGTTGTTTGAGACACGCTTTAGCTAATCTGTACGCAATAATCTACTTTTAGGAAATGCACTCCCTGAACGAAAACGTCATACTACTCTCATTTGTGTTAAATTGGCATTGTGCTATTAATAGCTTAACCTTGTCTTCTTTGCACAGAGAAAGGGTAAAAAATGGCTTTTACACAAATGTTACGTTTTTTGAATCCATATATATATATATATATATATATATATATATATATATATATATATATTACAAATGTGCTCAGGGGCTGAGAGACAGACGCCCCCACTTACACCACTAAATAATGCCTCTACAGAGAAAGAGTAAAAAATGGTTTTTACACAAATGTTATGTTTTTTGAATATATATATATATATATATATATATATATATATATATATATATATATATTACAAATGGGCTCAGGGGCTGAGAGGCAGACGCCCCCACTTACACCACTAAATAATGCCTCGGATTAGGCCTTGCTTAACGTGGAGTATCTGACCAGTTTTCACCGACGAGATCAAAGAAAGTTTGAACATCACAGATAAAGACCTGACCTATTTCTGATCTATACATACTTAACGGATTGCAAGTTATTACATATTGATGGGATCTTCATGTCGTCATACATTTTTAAACGGATGATGGACATAAATTATGATAGCTTTTTCTTGCACGAAGGTGGACCTGGTGCGGGCAGATTAAAACCTTAGAACCCTTTCAATTGTGTACAAATATTAATGTTGTGTGTGTGCATATATGAAATCGATCAGTGAGTATGTTAACTAGTTTCAACAGAATGAAACAATGAAACAAGCCTTGAGCAACTTATGGGGTTTTTCCTAACTAGAGACCGACCGAGTGTGATGGTCTGTGTCAAATGTATGGGAATCACTGTTGTTATGTTTGTCGTTACAGTCAATGTTCGGTATGGAAAAGATGTTTTGTATAGAGAGTATATGTGTAGCTGTATCTATTATGTTGAGAGTTTCGTGACGTAATTGGGTAAGGGGAAATGACGTGGTAGTTTGGTTGTTGTTATGGTGGATTGATTGCCGTACGGGAGAGTAGTTGTAGAATATTCACATTGTAACTTGTTGTGTGTTGCTGAGTGTTTTGCTGGAAAGTCTTGACTATTATTCCTATCTTAATATGACAGCAATGGTTTAAGGAATTGTTAAATTGTCAAGGTGAATAAACTTGGATCGTGAAGTGAACTATGCAGTGTTGTGGTGAATGATTGTGATACCGAAGTGAGAGTCAAAACCTAACAAATAGTCGTCTGATATTACTATGAGACGACTATAAGGTTTGTCCTTTCTCAGACCGGAAAACGTCATAGCGTTGCTATTTTTAGACGTCGGACAAATATTTCTTAAAACATGGCAGCTCAAAGTGTGTTCCAGCACAGCGTTAGAACACTCCTTGCATCTAGAGCCCTGTTACATGTGCTGTACGCGCAATGAAGTCCCATTTCACAAAATAGCATTAAAAAAATGGTGTGAAATATTTCGTAAAATATAGTCATAAGCAAGTTTTGATTTAGGTTAAGGGCCTCTTCGCTAAAAAAAAAGTAGTACTGAACAGTGTTAACATTTTGTCTGACCGGGTACCCGGATTATTGCAGATTGGTTGGTCACCTCTTTGTTAAGAGTAAAGCCTTTGGTCTGCAGATACTGCTGTGCAAGATTAACTTCCTCAAGTAGATCAGCCCAAAGAAAAAAGGTAGCAGATGAACGTGAAATCACAGACAGCACGCTAAAGACCTTGTGCTCTACCTCTTAGATCCAAAATTTCAAGAGGATCACAAAGAGCTTCAATCGCCGTCACACATTCATCAGGCGTATCTTTTACTGTTTCAACAGCAGGCGTTGTTGCCATTCTCTTCACCGGCATTCCCGTGTGTTCAATTGAAACATCTCATCAGTGAGCGGATGCAACAAAGGAGCAAAGTTTTATCTCAAGAGTACCGAAAACTATAATAAATGGTGCATTTTAATCAAAAGAGTGTCGCTTACGAAGGTTACGGAACACTCGAATCATGGTCGAAACGGTGTCAATCTGACCCAAGTATAGGGTCAATCTGACCCAAGTATAGGGTCAATCTGTCCCAAGTATAGGGTCAATCTGACCCAAGTATAGGGTCAATCTGACCCAAGTATAGGGTCACCTCTTTTCAAACGCATCAGCCTTGAACTTTTTATAAAGCACACATTCGGATTAGTTATATATGTGGACACTTTACGTGTGATCTGTTAGTATTTTATGACATTCGGTTAGAGTGAACAGCAGTGTGTGCACTGTAAATATGCAATTTTTCAATTGGGTGTCACCCCCTGACATGGTGTCACCTGGTGCGGTCCACGCACCCCCCTCACCCCCCAGCTACGCCACTGCATACGATGACAGCAAGATGTCGAGCCATAATGAATATCCGACTGTCGGTCGACGGACAGTCAGTCAGATGGACAGTCAGATGGACAGTCAGATGGACAGTCAGATGGACTGTCAGATGGACAGTCAGATGGACAGTCAGATGGACAGTCAGATGGACAGTCAGATGGACAGTAAGATGGACAGTCAGATGGACAGCGGGACTTCTGGTGGACGACCGAAAACCTCAAACCCTTTCAGCCGAAACCGATAATAAACCGAAAGTTAACTTTTCAGTTTCGGTCAAAACCGAAACTACGCTGATAGTTATCAAATGGCAACTTTCGGCGCAAAACCAAAACCGAAATTCGGTCGGCCTCTAGTTTAACTATACATTCTTACAGTTTTTTTTAAAAAAAGTCGGTTGGGGAAGGTTCCTCAAATGTGGTGCTTTACATGGGTCCTCAAAAGCTAGCTCATATATGGGACCCTCAAAGGTGGTCCACATAAGTTTGAATAATGGAAAGTTTCGGGATCATTGTGCGTCGTCATCTGTTTTTCTATTTTGGCGTCTCAGTTAAAACAATGGCGGCCAACAGCCTTGTCAATTTAGTGATTCAAGATTCAATTATATAATACATGCACAGGGCATTCCCTGAGAGGGGCCGGGGGGGGGGTGGCCCTGCCACCCCTTGCTGGAGCAGTGGCCTTGCCACCCCTTGCTGGAGTGGTGGCCTTGCCACCCCTTGTTGGAGTGGTATCCTCCGTAAGAATCTGATGATTAATGAAAAGATGCCGATGAAACCGATGACATCTAACCCGTAATTTAGTCGATTGTAGCCCGACAAACAATCGTGGTGGTGTAGTCAGTTGAAGCCCGACAAACAATCGTGGTGGTGTAGTCAATTGTAGCCCGACAAACAATCGTGGTGGTGTAGTCAATTGTAGCCCGACAAACAATCGTGGTGGTGTAGTCAATTGTAGCCTGACAAACAATCGTGGTGGTGTAGTCAATTGTAGCCCGACAAACAATCCGTTGGTGTAGTGAATTGTAGCCCAACAAACAATCGTGGTGGTGTAGTCAATTGTAGCCCGACAAACAATCGTGGTGGTGTAGTCAATTGTAGCCCGACAAACAATCGTGCTGGTGCTACCCTGAGCTTTCAATCTACTCAAGTTTCTGGACAAAAAAACAGGTATTCAAGTAGCGCACTTAATAAGAATCCCAAATAGTGCTGACACCTCACCCCCGGGTACGCCACCACATAATGTTTTTCACGCCCCTGAACTCTATTAATATTCTAACGTCCCACCACTTTGTACACCGTAGATCTCTGACACCCCATTTAGATTGAGGCGATATCCGTGCAATACAAGGAAATATAACGCAACAAATGTCCTGCGATAGTATTTTCTTTTTTCAAGTATCATTTTGCGCATTTAACATGATTTTTATTTTGCGCGCTATTGAAATCAGCATGACACCGTACATTCATACTTTGAGAATTATATTTATTTATATTTGTGTGTGGGTTTTTTTTTTTTTTTTTTTTTTTGGGGGGGGGGGGACTGCACATCTAAGAATGATGTCATGAAATGATGCAATTTCGTCTTTCATGACGCCTGGTCAGGGTCGGCAACCCGAAAAAAATTAACATAAAATTACTTTTCCTTAAAATTCTGTAAAAATAAGCCATGAAATAATAAACCTTAGAAATTCTGTAAAGATTTGACATAAAATTATTTGCCTGTAAATTTCTTTGTAAAAATGAGGCATAGCCCTTAAATCTAACGCCTTTGAAGAGAAATAAACCCAGAATTCTGAGTAGTCATTTTAGTTCTTCTTACTTGCTTCAATACCGTAAGAATGTGTTAGTTGACCAAGCCATTGAACAGATTGATTGATGCACGTAGACGATGCTAAACCGCGTTGTTCTCATGTGTTTGTATATGTCAGAAATGACATCAAAAATAGATTAGTTAGGACTTGGCTAAACGAGCCCCCCCCCCCAGGCCCCCCTCTCCACAAGGCATTCGTTGTATTACTTACTGCCTCTCTTCAATTCAGTTGCACTGTCAATGTGGCACCGTCACTGATCTTTTTAAAAAATAACAACAACATTGAAGTGCTGTCCTGATCATTCTAAGTGGAACTCATTGTTAACATTTATGAAAAACAAGGAACCAGTCAGAGTTAGCAATGCAGACGGTCAATTTAAAAGGTTTGGGTGGGAGGGGCGTGGGGGGGGGGGAGATAAACTTCGAAGAAATTAAGAAAGAACTCACAGTATTCTCACAGAACAAAGACATGGATGTTTATTGGATCAATTCGCATTTTCGTTTGAGATCTTATTTTCATGGAAGAATGTCAAAAAACAGAAACAAAACAAAAAAGTAAAAATACGAGAATGGTTAGGCAGGACTACATTCATGTTATAGTATTTTTAAAAAAAACCCAGCCACTTGTATGTATCACATAGACCAGTTTTTGACTACACTGAAACAAGAACATGCATTACCCTTGCTCATTTCAGGCCGTAGAAAGCAAAGTAGAGAAAATGTCAGACAGCAATCAAGCAAGAAGCATTAAAAAAAAGTAATTCCCCGTCCAGGTTTCGGTGACGTGCAGGGATTCAAAGAAACATGCGCCACACCCTAGAACCGTGTCACTACTTCGCAACGCTTACTTTTCATCATGAAATCCTTTTTATAATTTAACTCTTAATTATAGTGCAAGTTTTATAATCAAGCCTACTTCCTCATGACCATAATAACAATGGCTACACTATAAAACGTCCATTTCTATGCTCCAACTTACCGTCAGTCTGCACCGTGGAGAGAGCGAGTGAGTAGCTCAGCTGATGGGAGTGGGCCGGTGACCCACCAAGATTGTACGGGGTGTCAGATTAGAGCAGTCGCAGACCTGGGGGGAAAAGGTGGGGGGGGGGGGGGGGGGGGGGGGGGGGCGGCTCACGGCGCACAAAATGTTTCTTACGCAAAATGAGGTCACTGGAAGGTGCACCTCGACCTTAACTCTGTGCATGGAGCTATTTATTATTTAAGCGGCGTACCCTTTCAGTCTTATTTCAGCGGCGTACCCTTTCAGTCTTATTTCAGCGGCGTACCCTTTCAGTCTAATTTCAGCGGCGTACCCTTTCAGTCTTATTTCAGCGGCGTACCCTTTCAGTCTTATTTCAGCGGCGTACCCTTTCAGTCTTATTTCAGCGGCGTACCCTTTCATTCCAACGAACATGAAGTAATTATTGCACACCGATTTAGACGCTCACATTTCAAACAGACGATCCAATTAATTTTCTGGTAGTGGACTTCAGCAACTTTATTTCGGCAATGTCATCTCAATGACCTTGACGCAAGATGTCACTATGAGGCGCACGTCAGAGGTAAAGGTATCAGCCCAAGATTCTTTCAGAAAGTACATAACAAATTAATCGAAATAATATGATACTATTTTGTACTCTGCAAGTTTTAAACAAAGTAACAACTGGGCAGGCATGCAAAGTAAAGCTTTTAAACGTGAATGTCTTTTAGACGTCGAGAAAAGTCCCCATTTTGGAGCGGAAAGTGAAAGAGAGACTTTTCTTTTGCGACATCGACTACAGCCATAGTGGCGTGTCTGGCTTTTGGAAGAGCTACATTTGTCATTTGGCATTTATCATTTGGCATTTATCTTACGGATTATAGTAGAGATGTTAATATTGCGTTTTTTTCGGCGAACTGGTTATATTTTTTTTGCAATCCCGTTCTAAACCGGTTATCAGTTTTTACAATGCATTCCCAACTGTTCCGCACAGCAAGGCCAGATGCTCTTAATATTATTTTTAAAGACCTTAAGTGGATATTGATATCTATTTTTAGAACTGGTAATGCAACATGTTTCATATGATCCCAGTACTGCGTGCGGTGCTTAGTAATATGACCCTAAGGCTTAAGATGGAGAACCCATATTATTATATATTACCAGTGACCAGGCGGCCATGAAGCGACCTACACACATGTTAGCTAACATTCCCCACCCTCGAAAATAACATTTCAACCCACACCCGTTGTTATTAGTTGACCCCGAAACAGCGATACATTCAATTGTAATGTTGCTTTTTATATCGCATTCATTCTTTAAATACTAATAAAATGTCATGGGTTTTGACAAATTAATATTCTCTGTAAGAAGGGCAATTTATTTATTTTTTTTTTAAATAACTCGAGTATCGCATCAATCAACAACCGATTATTGGTTTCGAAACCGGTAACCGGAAATCCGATTATCTTTTAACATCATTAATTGGTAGCTCTTTGTCAGACAAACATTTTTGTTCCACCTTCCCCCAAACATTCAGCCTTCCTTTCATTTAAAGTTTTTAAGTCTAAACATTGCATAGCGTAGCCCGAGCTTCGTATTTTTATTATTAGCGACTTGCTGCTCGCATTTCCTGGGGTGCAATCTTGTGGGGGGCGTTTGGTTGGTTTGTTTTCACACGGGTCTTTTTCAAGACTTTCTAGTGCAGTGTTCACCTGGCGAACTGCCCGAAAAGGGGGGTGGGTGAGGGTGTGAGCGAGCTCCGTAATACTGGGTCCACTGAGGGCGGGTTGACACCGTCGCTCAAATTCTCGTGGTTGACAGCGTCTGGTTTGCGGTGGTTGAGTGAACGGGTGGGTGAGCTCAGATCTACCCGTTTTAGTTGTATGCCAAGGTAAAGAGTTAAGTCCCCTCAACCGTCATTTCGTAAGCATTCGATATTTAAACGAGTAAATAAGTTTACTTTTGCCCATAGTTAAAAGATTATAATTTTAAAAATAAAAGTTACGAAATAATAATATATATTTATTTATTTTAAAAAAGAAATACTCTCTATCAAAGACAAGGAAAAAAAAAAGCACAATGACACAGATGATAATTGACAATTTCTTAACTGCATTACGCACAGAAAAGCTGTGCACAAAAAAATGTTCAAAAATTAATGAAAAAAATAATGCATATAAGTTTCTTTGACTTCCTAGAGTGGTCATCTCTTCTTCTTCTTCTTCTATATCTTAAGGGCCCACGATCAATTTATTGATCATTTTGGCTCCTATGCATGTAGATGGGATTTGCCCATCTACACTCTTGGACAGTCTTTGTTTACGTAATGTATTTTATGAAATTTTAATTTAAAAAACAAAACAAAAAAAAAAACCTTTTTAGGTGCGTTTTAACTTGTGTTATTTAAAAAAAAAATATATATATATATCTATATATATATATATAAATATATTATGCGCCTTAGATTCGTAGTATAGATCGATAATCCGTTTTTTGCTGTTGGGTGGCTTCCCCTTAGCCTTAAAACAAAGTTCTTTATTTAAGTAATGTATTTTATGAAATTTTAATTTAAAAAAAAAAACAAAAAAAAAAACCTTTTTAGGTGCGTTTTAACTTGTGTTATTTAAAAAAAAAATATATATATATATCTATATATATATATATAAATGTATTATGCGCCGTAGAGTCGTAGTATAGATCGATAATCCGTTTTTTGCTGTTGGGTGGCTTCCCCTTAGCCTTAAAACAAAGGAAGTGCTCCAATGAATTAGAGACCTTTTTTATTATTCACTGTAGTCTTAATTGATATAAGGATCTAAAATGTGCTCAAAGGACATTTGTTTTGTTTCCATCTCGAATAAATTCAATCAGATGTAATTACACAAACAGTACAGCAGTACTTTAGTCTTATTTTTATTGCTTGTTTGACTGAGCACTCCCTTGGTAAATAAACAACGTCATCACAGACAAATACACAGGAAAAGAGAAACAAAAAAGATGGATCATCTGTCACTTAAACAATAATAGAAAAAAAAAATATTCATCACCTTTCAATTACACGTGAATTGAAACAAGATGTTAATTGTACTTTATCCTATACAAAATAACAATAAACAAGAGATATTTCAACTGCCACTCTTACTTGAAATAAACAATAGATTTTTCATTTGTCACTCTTATTTTAACACAAACAAGAGATGTATCAACTGTCACTCTCACTGTACTATCTCTCACTTTAATACAAACAACAGAAGTTTCATCTGTCACTCTTACTTTGACGTAAACAACAGATTTTTGCATCTGTCACTAACACTTACACTTCTTACTCGTAATGTTTATAAAGTATTTGTTCTCCCAAAGATACAAATGATAAGAGTATGTTTACATGTATGAGGTAAAATAAACCATGCCTCTACAAGGACAAGTTTACGCAATGTGTACACAAACTTATTCATACATTAAACATTGATGTGCTCAATGGTTGAGAAGGAAATAAAGGCACTCTGAGTGTGTAGGTCTATTTATGCCACAGATTTATCGTGTAGGTCTATTTATGCCACACATTCATCGTTTTCATGAATGGGATGCCCAGAAAACGTAGGCAAAATGAAATGACCTGTGTAGCAGATTTAGCCACGTCACATTTATTTCAATAAAGACTTTATTTGTAATGTCATTTTGGGCTTTATTCGGCTTTAACAAAAAAAATAAAATAATAATAATAATTTTCAATCAATTTTAACCTACCGTAATTATCAAAAAGACATCAAACAAAAAGTTTTTTTTCGAAATATTTTAAACCGGGATTTGAATAGTAAAAAACAAGTACATACATATGAGTCTGATTATAAATGTTATGAAAATGGTTAAGGAAAGAAATATTATTGAATGTGGAAAAAGTAATTGAGATTCGTCTATTTATTAAACAGCATTGGTACCTTGCCTGCGTCATCATCTCTCCTAGAGCTGACTATACTACGACCTCTGACCTTCCTCTTATAATGGACTAGACAGCCTAGCAGGATCAGGCATAAAACGAACAAGAGGAGACAAGCAGCGGTCAGCCCCCACAGTACTAAAGACCGGTTCCTTCCCTTTACTTTCACCGCCCCTCCCATCAGAGTCGGAAGTAGGTGATTCCAGTAAGCAATATGGCGATCTCGCAGGTACCTTCCGTTGGTGATGACCAGATCTGTAGTGTTGCTGCTGACCCGGATGTAACTCTTGCCTTCCGTGTACGGTAGGATCTGAGTGGAGTCTTTGTCATCTGAGGGCCACCTGATGTTAGATAATGGAAACTTTTAACACTAATTGACAACAGACACACAAAGTCTGTAACAATAAACGTGTTGAATCTAAGGTGATAACTGATTTCAAATATTCCCACGACTATATTTTATGACTATGTTTTATGACTATTATAACTCTGTTATTTATATGACTTTGTTTTATGATATTATATCACTATACTATATGACTATATTTTACGACTATGTTGCATGAATATGTGTTATGGCTATGTTTTGGACTATGTTTTTTACTTTATTTTATGACTATGTTATAATATGACTATATATTTCATGACTATCTTTTGTGACTATCTTTTATGACTTTGTTTTGTGACTTTGTTTTATGTCTATATTATATGAATATGTTTCATGTCTATCTTTTATGACTATGTTTCATGAAAATATATTTATGACCATGTTTTATGACTATGTGTTATGACTATGTTTTGGACTATGTTTTTTTTTTTTACTTTGTTTTATGACTATACTATATCACTATATTTTACGACTATGTTTCATGACTATGTTTTGTGACTTTGTTTTATGACTGTTTTACGACTATGTTTTTGACTTTATTTTTGACTATGTTTATGGCTATGTTTTTGGCTGTAAGTATGCCTATGGGTGACTCTAATTCATATAATCACAAAAGAATGAATGAATGTTACAACACGAGTTTATTATAGGGGCATTCTCACACGTTTGGAATTCCTCCTGATTATGATTAAGAAGGAAGCAGGAAGACACCCCGGGCGTTGTTTAAAAGCAATATATTGGTGTACAGTGTACAGTCTCTAAGGGACTTTTGCGTACGAGTCATTTCAGGTCAAATGTGAATTATTTCTTACATCATTAAAATGCATCAGGAGATGTGTTCTATTCATTCTCAGTTTTGGTATCACACCCAGTGTGCTTATCATACTCAGTTTTGGTATCATACCCAGTGGGCTTGTCATACCCAGTGTGTTTATCATACCCAGTGGGCTTATCATACCAAGTGGGCTTATCATACCCAGTGGGCTTATCATACCCAGTGGGCTTATCATACCCAGTTTGCTTATCATACCCAGCGGGCTTATCATACCAAGTGGGCTTATCATACCCAGTGGGCTTATCATACCCAGTAGGCTTATCATACCCAGTGTGCTTATCATACCCAGTGGGCTTATCATACCCAGTAGGCTTATCATACCCAGTAGGCTTATCATACCCAGTGTGCTTATCATACCCAGTGGGCTTATCATACCCAGAGTAGACGTATTTTGACCACAGCTGAATGTATCCTTGGCTGACCCGTCCGTCCAGTTCCGTGTAGTTCCGCAGAGGGTGACCGTCTATGGGACATCCAAATAAATAGAAGAGGTCATCGCCATGGGGGACACCTGGAAAAATTTTGATTTAAAAAAAAAAAAGTAAATAGAGATAATGTCTTCATTGCCAATCTATCATCTCTGTAACCTCTTTCAAAAGACGTGATTTATCTCTAAGCCCATCTGTACGTTTCATCAGAAAAGTCTTCCTCTTTTTAAAATGATGATATTTACTATTTTAGAAATAATAAATACTTTAGTTAATAGTATAAAAAAAGTGCATTACTCTCTTCTTTTAAAAAAATAAAAGTCTTGTACCGGGAAATAAGACACACTTTATACCTTTCTTGGTCAGAAGATAAAAGAATATTGTCAATACTGGTCCAACAGTTTTGCCCTGCTGTCTTATCTTATACCAAATTATCAGTTATCAAATTTAACTCCTTCAAAATTTTTGGACAGTTACCTTGTATTTATTTAGTTTTGTGTGTGGGTGGGGGGGGTGGGGTGGGGGTGGGGGTGGCTTGAGGGGGGGGTATTGGAGACAGGTTCACTAAGGAACATCACCAAATTTGTCAAAACAATATCATTGTCACTTGTCAAATTTTGATCTCCCTTGCTTCAGTCATTACATCTAGACATTCTCGTGTAGTCAAAAGTTCGTCATGCGTGCGTTGTTACGTCACGTGTCCGTTGTTACGTCACGTGTCCGTTGTTATGTCACGTGTACGTTGTTACATAACGTGTACGTTGTTACGTCACGTGTGCGTTGTTACGTCACGTGTGCGTTGTTACGTCATGCTGGTGAGTCACCTAATCCGACGACATGAGTAAACTGTGACGTCATGCACACTTACCCATCCACAGGGGGTACCGTGAGGTGGGAGACCTGTGCTCGAAGCTGTACACAAAAAGGTCAAGGTCGTCGACGGCGGCCAGTCTGTCCGCCAGGTCAATGGCCGGGGCGGTGAAGGTGGCGTCCCCCACGAGCTGGCGTCACAGACATGAGGAGTAAAAAAATTGCAGGCATTCCATAAATATGTTAAACTTGTCTCTCAATTGTGATATAATAGGAAACAGGAAATATTATTTGGCTACCGTAACAGAACCCTGGCGATGCTGGCATTAGCTTTGATCGATTTAGGAACTGAGCTTTCAAGCATTGCAGAATGCAGTGATCCCATAACTTCTGTATTGTATATTTATATGCTGTCTATAATGAAATTCAAACTAAGCCCAAAAATAATAATAATATATATTTATTTTAAAAAAAACACGACGGTTGACTTACTACGCCTGAGCTAATACGCCTGATTAAATAAGCCATTGACAAATACATTAGAGCGTCGATTTTCCGAACTTTAATTATTCGAAACGTCGGTTATCTGAACTGCCCCTCCTTTAAAAAAAAAATAAATTGACATTTTTTAAATAAAAATTATAATCATAGTACGCAAAGTGCGTGGCTCGGAGCCTTCCCTTACCAACACCGGTTGTATCTCATGCTGTACATTCCTGGTCAAATCTAGAGATTTACTGTACCGATCTGTAAACATTTTAAGTAATATAAGAAGAAGGGAGCATACAACCAAAGAAAAAGTGACCCTCGTAATTTTTTTTATCCTTAGCGCCAGTCTGCTATTTTTGAAAAACGAATCCATCTTTTCCTTGAAAAAAAAAGAAAAACAGACAGTCCTCATCGGTGTTGGAAATCAATCAGCTCACCCCACAATACAGTACGGTGTGATTAAAACAGTTAACCTCTTTACTTTGTTTTTGTATGGTTTTAGCGCCCTCTCCTATTTTTTTCTTTTTAAAGGTAGGATATGTATATTTATATTATTCAAATTTAATTTATACTTATTTAAATGTGTTTTGTTTGTTTGTACTGATGAAGACATGTGCCGAAACGTTTACTTGTGTAGGCCCTATAATGTATATTTATTATTAAAGCGTAACTTATATTGTTAAATTGACACAATTTGTTCGCGTCTTATTGATTACTGATTTACCTAGAGCACCAATCGTGTATCAAGATAAAGTTAAAAAAAAAATTAATTCTATGTAATAAATTCTTTGACACAGTTTTTCCGAAGGACAGTTCGATTATCAGATATTTTTTTAAAAACCAACACCCCCCCCCCCCCCCTTTTTTTTTTTTACAAACCACCCCCACCACCGGGTCCCAGTAGTTCGGAAAGCCAACGCTCTACTGTCCACTGCTCTACTGTCCACTGCTCTACTGTCCACTGCTCTACTGTCCACTGCTCTACTGTCCACTGCTCTACTGTCCACTGCTCTACTGTCCAATGATCTACTGTCCAATGATCTACTGTCCACTGCTCTACTGTCCAATGATCTACTGTCTACTGCTTTACTGTCCAATGATCTACTGTCCACTGCAGTGCTCTCCAAACTGTGAGTCGCCACACAGTAATGTGCCCCCAGGAGAGTTTAGGGGTGCTGCTCGAAAAGAAGCCATACCAATAGTCATACATGTTTCCTAACATCGAAGTAGCCATTCAGTGTCGTAGGCAAGTCACATGACTTTCACAAGGCGTCACCGGATCCCGTCTTTCTCTTTACTACAGATGTTTCCAGGGTTGTCGGTAAATCTTTTGATGATCAAATCTAGTTTATTGTAGAGCCAACAGTGTCCTGTGTGTCCTGTGTGTCCTGTGTGTCCTGTGTGTCCTGTGTGTCCTGTGTGTCCTGTGTGTCCTGTGTGTCCTGTGCAATTAAGTGCTCCTCTTTTACGTCTTCTGTTCTCTTGAGATGCAAGATTTGCCCCGCAGAGGTCACTCAAGTGCCAGTGAGGGTCACTGGTAGCCTACTAAGGGGCCATCCATAGAGTACGTATTCGAGAAAGTAACAATTTCCATCCCCTTTACCCCCTTTGGCATGTGCACTTTTTTTTTGACAAGACCCTTTGCGTACGTAAAATGATCTTTCGGGTCATACGCACGCCTACGCAAAATTTCCAAAATTGACATCCATCTCCCCCCCCCCTCATTACGAAAGTACCAAATGGGTGGCCGATGATCATGACGGGGTTATATTGTCATCGGGGGTGGGTAAGTGTTCAAAGTTTCAGCTCATTTGGATATCAGGTAGTGGATCAAAATTGAGACGCCAGATTTGACCGGCAGAGGTCACGCAAGGGTCAGCGTAGGTCACCGTTGACCTACTGATTATAAAGGGTTGAATTGTCCCCGAGATTGAGTGATGTAACAGCCATGCAACAGCTATGCAACAGCAATGTAACAGCCACATAACAAACATGTAACAGCCATGTAACAGCCATTTAACAGCCATGTAACAGCCATGTCACAACAATGTAACAGCCATTTAACAGCCTTTTAATAGCCATGCAACAACCACATAACAGCCATGTAACAGCCATGTAACAGTCATTTAACAGCTATGCAACAACAATGTAACAGCCATGCAACAGCTATGCAACAGCAATGTAACAACCACATAACAAACATGTAACAGCCATGTAACAGCCATTTAACAGCCATGCAACAACCATGTAACAACAATGTAACAGCCATGCAACAGCTACGCAACAGCAATGTTGCAACCACATAACAAACATGTAACAGCCATGGAACATCCATGTAACAGCTATGTAACAGTTATGTAACAGCCATGTAATAGCCATGTAACAGCTATGTAACAGCCATAAACAGCCATGTAACAGCCATGTAACACCCATGTATTAGCCATGTAGCAGCCATGTAACAGCCATGTAACAGCCATGTAACAGCCATGTAACAGCCATGTAACAGCCATTTAACATCCATGTAACAGCCATGTAACAGCCTTTTAACAGCCATGTAACAACCACGTAACAGCAACGTAACAGCCATGTAACAGCAAACAGTGGCAACACCGTCTTCCTACATCAGATAAGGCGATCAGCCCAGCTGTGACGTTATCAGGATCCGACCACGGCTTGTAGACGTAATAGGACAAATCTGAGGGAACAAACCAATACAATTGTCAAAAATACAGATTAGGGTTAGGGTTACGCAAAACTGTCTGAATGGACACTAACAGCATCAGACAGCTAGACTTGGCCGTAGTTACATAAATATACAAGAAAACAGCTCGACCTCGCTGTCGGTGCATACGAATACAAGAAAAGAGCTAGCTATACTTGGCTGGTGATGCATACAAAATTGAATACAAGTAAACTGCTTGCTTAACACAAAGTTTGTTTAGCCATCTCCAACTACTTAAACACTCCGTGCTCTGTAACAAAATCCCAAGCCACTCACCCTCTATATAAGAATATGACGTGTATGGTCTCATGGGTGGCGATGCAAACTGTCTGTAAAGGGAATCGTTAAAACTTTCAACTGGCTCGATGTGTTCATTGTAGTTCTTCATGAGTTGTTTCCCCGTCAGGTAGCGGCCCAGGATCTTCTTCTTGATCTCGTTCTTCATGATAACTTCAGCTGTAGGGGAGACAACACATGTTACTGAATGATAACTTGGGCTGTAGGGGAGACAACACATGTTACTGAATGATAACTTGAGCTGTAGGGGAGACAACACATGTTACTGAATGATAACTTGAGCTGTAGTGTAGTGGAGACAACACGTGTTACGGAATGATAATTTCCGCAGTAGGGGAGACAACGCCCTTTGCTACTGAATGATAACTTCAGATATAGGGGGAGACAACGCACTTTGTTACCAAATAACCTCAGCTGCAGGGAAGACCCCTCGGCATAACACTCAATGATAACTTAGCTAAAGGTGAGACAGCACATGCTGCTGAATGATAGCTTCGGATGTAGGTAAAAAAACAACAACAACACTGTATGAAAACTTCCGCCAAAGAGAGGACAAACGATATAATTCTAAATGATAATTTCAGTTTTAAGGGAGACAGATTCCCCAAATTTGCAAAATGTAAGAAAAATGGTTTTCTTATGTACCCGTTTTAAGGTTTTGAAAATTTGAAAAAAAATCTGTTTTAAGACCTGGCGCGTAGAGTGAACAAGACGTAACAAAGGACTGAAAACAAGTCTAGAAAGCAAATGATGCCTAAACGAGTTAAACTAAAAACACAGGTTGTTTTTCTTTCCTATCAACGCTCAGTATTGACACATTTCTGTTATCGCAAGGACAGCTTGGTATTTAAATAAGGTAACCAATGTCCATTTCGTAGCGACACCGTATTCTATTTACGTGCCTACCTATACTGTAGGATTTAGTCAAAATTCAAGGAAATGTAAAAAAAGAAGTTGCGTTCCTGCTGTAGAACATCGCACGGCTCACCTGTCAAGGAGCCCTCGTCACGAACCACGCCAATCATGATCGTCCTGGCGTTGACGGGGCCTTCTATTCCATTCTTTGGATCGGCCAGTAGGAATTGATTGTCCACAACTGGTGCAAACGTGAAGTAGCCGTCAGAATGCTGGGAAGCGAGAGACAAGAGGTGAATTGGACTTGAACAAAGTCAATCACACTATGAAATATAAGAGCAAGGTATGCTGAACTTGAGTGAATAGACAGGATCCTACTTCCGGCAACTACATAGGAGACCTCCATAGTTTTTTTTTTTACTTTGCTTTGTTACTTCTTCTACTTCTATTTGTTGAGTTTGCTGATTAAGGCTTTGAGCCTAAACGTCCAAATCTTTTGTCCTGTCTATTTATTCAGTTGAGCAAACCTTGTTCTTATATCTCACAACTTTAATGGAGTCCATCAATTATTATTAATCATACTAACAATTAAAAGAGCAAGCAACCTACAATATCAACCCTTGACATCAACCTACAATATCAACCCTTGACATCAACCTACAATATCAACCCTTGACATCAACCTACAATATCAACCCTTGACATCCACCCGCAATGTCATTTCTTGGCACCCAATTTTATCACCCCAGGATCAACTCCATCTACCGACCTATAGTATAAACCTTGACGCCAGCCTGTATATATGTACCATAAATACTATATATATAACCATCAACATATACCATTGACACCAACCTACAATTTCGATCCTTGGCGCCAACCTACAATTTCGACACTTGATACCAACCTACAACTTCGACCCTTGACACCAACCTACAATTTCGACCCTTGACACCAACCTACAATTTCGATCCTTGACGCCAACCTACAATTTCGACACTTGATACCAACCTACAATTTCGACCCTTGACGCCAACCTACAATTTCGACCCTTGACTCCAACCTACAATTTCGATCCTTGACGCCAACCTACAATTTCGACACTTGATATCAACCTACAACTTCGACCCTTGACACCAACCTACAATTTCGACACTTGGCACCAACCTACAATTTCGACCCTTGACACCAACCTACAATTTCGACACTTGACACCAATCTACAATTTCGACCCTTGACACAAAACTACAATTTCTATACTTGGCAATAACAATTTCAACTATCAACCTTTATCTCGGCAGTATCAACAGCTCAAGACACCAACCAATAGTACCAACGAATAGTACCAACCCTTGACACCAACCTATAGTACCACCCAATAGTACCAACCCTTGACACCAACCTATAGTACCAACCTATAGTATCAACCCTTGACACCAACCTATGGTATCAACCCTTGACACCAACCTATATTATCAACCTTTGACATCAACCTATAGTATCAACCCTTGACACCAACCTATAGTATCAACCCTTGACACCAACCTATAGTATCAACCCTTGACACCAACCTACATGAAACGAAATGTCGTAAAACTTGGAAATGTTTTGTTCCCTAAGACAACTCCAGGTTTGCGTCTTGTCGGTGCCGAAGTAACAACCCAGGTTTTCCAGATGGCGGTTGGGGCCGGACCGTTCCTCCGTTGGACTGGACGGTGGTATGAGAGCCCAGAAGGCAGTAGGTGACCCACTGAGGAGTATAGCTGACCGGAAGAGACCTGATAGTTTGGATGGAGTAGATATGGAGTAGCCGTGGGGCGACTTTGATGTTGCAGTAGATTCACAAACAAGGAACAATTTTTTACAATATTATTATATTACCTTCTCTGATCACGGTGGAAATTGTACATTTATTTAAATCAGTGATTCTCAATCTGTTCTCGCCTTAATTTAAATTCCGGTATTGAGAACGGAATATAAAACGTACAATGTCTTGTTAACAAAACGGCTGGAATTGTTCTTTTTAATTTACCTTTAGAGATTGGCGAAAGGACGTGGAAACCGACATCTGAACTTCCTGCGCTATGACCTTGACATGTGACCTTATCCGGATCTCCGCCAAATTTGTCGATGTTCTCCTTGACCCACAGCATGGAGAGAGCCTGGTCATATAAGCCATAATTCCCTGTGATGTCCAGATGGGGGGCACTCAGGAAACCTGCGGACAATGAGATGTTACACGTATCCATGGACATTAAGTGACCCCTCCCTTTACCCACACCCTCCCTAACAATGTTCAGAAACTATCGCACGGCTAGCGATGACCGCTCTAGTGCCTTTCACCAACGCATTCCCTCTAGTAACGAAGAAGATCACCTGGACACTCTCCCACGACGTTCCGAGAAAGTCCTCACCCAGCAACCCCTCCAGTAACGAAGAAGGTCACACCCCCCCCCACGCCAACTCCTCCAGTAACCAAGAAGGTCACACCCCCACGCCAACCCTTCCTGTAACCAAGAAGGTCAAGCCCCATGCCAACTCCTCCAGTATCCCACCAACCCCTCCCGTAACGACGAAGGTCACACCCCCCCCCACGCCAACTCCTCCAGTAACCAAGAAGGTCACACCCCCACGCCAACCCTTCCTGTAACCAAGAAGGTCAAGCCCCATGCCAACTCCTCCAGTAACCAAGAAGGTCACACCCCATGCCAACCCCTCCAGTAACCAAGTAGGTCACACCCCATGCCAACCCCTCCAGTAACCAAGAAGGTCACACCACACAGCTATCACTCCGCGATAGTCCCAAATCGTGTGTTGCATTATATGCAATCAAGTCACATGCTACACATGACCTGTTGAAACGTCCAGCGTTCTTACCTTGTTCCCCAAGTCTGTAGTTCATGGTGACTTTACCTAGCACCCCAGGTCTGTAGTTCATGGTGACTTTACCTAGCACCCCAAGTCAGTAGTTCACGGTGACCTTACCTAGCACCCCAAGTCTGAAGTTCATGGTGACCTTATCTATCACCCTAAGTCTGTAGTTCATGGTGATCTTACCTAGCACCCCAAGTCTGTAGTTCATGGTGACCACGATCAGATTACCCTCACTGGCCAGGGCGTCTCCGTGAAGCATGGCGCCCATTCCGGCTTCATTGGATCCGCCGTGAATGTGGACTATTACAGGTAAGAGGGGCGGCTCCAGTACCTGTCTTAAATGGATACAGAATAGACTAACTGTAGTCATAGCGAGCAGCTCCATGTACACTTCCAAACGGTGACATAAGCAACATGAAAACATTCACTTCGCTACTGAGAGCTTCTACAGACATCGAAAGGGTTAACTTATTAATTGTTTATGTCAAGAAAAGAAGGGATGATTCAGATGTCTACGAAATATTGACTGGTAAGGGGTCATCCCTTTCTCAATCTATTTTAATATTCTATATGCACCCGCACAACAAAAAGATTCAGAAGGTCTTTACACCTAAAGGTTCAACACACTCCTGCACATACTCCACCCACAAATACAGTTGTCCCACACACCCTCCACGTTGACCAAAACACACACATTCACACGCAGACGTCACGTGTCATTCCATATCACACAGCCACCTACACACACCTTCATTCACCACATACACAGAAATTCCTCCCCCCCACACACACACACATAAACAGATTTCCACACACAGAGACATCCACACACACATAAATCCCCACAAACACTCATAGACGTCTAACCACACACACTGACATCCACCCACACAAACGTCCAACAATAGACTCAGACGTCCACCCCCCACACGCAGACGTCCAACCCCACACACATGTCCACACACAAACCGACGTCCACACGCACACACAGACATCTACCAACCCTTTCGTGCCTGATGGGTACGTAGATATTAAGATAGAGACAATCCTCGCTGGTCTGACCATCGAAGTCTGGGTCATGGTCCCTGATGTAATGCTGGTCAAGCTGGGACTGGACACAGGCACAAGACTGTATCGTTGCATTCCGTACACCCTGCCAGGGCTCAGGTGGAAAGGGCATCTGTAGCATAACATGATCAGCAACGTTTAAATATAACAGATTACTATATATGATCTTAGATTTTTGGTAAAAGTACATAGTTTTAACGGAAGGAAATAACATAATAGATAATGAAGAAATGAAACGAGATTAATTCAAAGAACTATAATGCCAATAATGAAATAAGGTGCAACCCGGGTACTCTTAATCCCCATTGTATAGCAAACTATATAATGTACTAAAATGTGTGCTTTTTATCCATCAATCTCTGTGCAATATTTAATAATAACATTTCGTTTCTTCTCCAATGGGCGTGGCACATCCAGTCTAGAGTTAATTCTAACATTACAAACAGGGAAATATCGGATTTTTTACCATAAAATAATCGAGGTACAACTGCAACGCAGTGCAGCACAATCAAAGAAAGGGAGGTCCAGCCAATGATAAGGGAGATGGTGGTGGGGTGCCAGATGGGAGTACAAGTGGGGGTGGGGTGGATCAGGATGAAAGCATAAGTGAGGGGGGGCCTGGGGTGGATCAGAATGACAGCATAAGTGGGGGGGGACTTGGGGTAGATAAGTGGGGAGGTAAGGCGAAATAGAAATAGATCCTCATAGCAAAAAGCATTTCACAATTGCGTCTAAATCTGACTCTGACAATCGGCATGTGATAAACAGACATTAGTGTAATACCAGGAGGACTGCGTGGAAAAAAATAAGTCATAAATATCTGTATCACTTGAGTTTGTCTATCTGGGTATTTTTGCTGTCGAAGGGTTCTTACCCGAAACATCTGCTTTTTTCTCTGTTGTCCCTTTTCATGCTACTCTCCACCCTGTCATTATTTCTTAAAATTACATAATTAGGTTTCAAGAATATCTTCTTATCTTCAGTTCTTTATTTTGCTTATTGAATGCACTATTATGCCAGCTACAGTTATACGCCTTAGCCTTCCAGGTAAATCTGTCTGCACCTGTAGGCCGTTATACAAAGCAATTTTACACATTTTTTTAAAAAACAAATGGTCTATCTGGGATCAGATATCTAAATCAACGAACATCATACATTGTAACAACATATCAACAAAAATACCTCAGATCAACATATCATCACTAATGCCTCAGATCAACATATCATCAACAATGCTTCTCATAAAATTATCATCAACAATACCTCTGAGCAATGGTCCCTATAAGGTTTGATGGTTCGTGTGCAAAATAATACAGTTGTGTGCAAAGTCTTACAGCATCAATTTTTGTGTGTGCAAAATATTACAGCCCACAAACACAAAAACACACTTATGGGTAAGTTGGCTGCGCAGATATTCAAAACTGCTGTGCGGCTTCTGTGAGATAGCTGCGCGGCCGCGCAGCCACGCAGCTTCAAGGGAACATTGCCTATGAGCAGCACATCATCAAAAACACCACTCATCAACATATCAAAAATAATACTGCTCATAAATATATCAACAATACCTCTCATCGACATATCAAAAACAATACGGCTCATAAATATATCAACAATACCTCTCATCGACATATCAAAAACAATACGGCTCATAAATATATCAACAATACCTCTCATCGACATATCAAAAACAATACGGCTCATAGATATATCAACAATACCTCTCATCGACATAACAACAATACCTCTCATCGACATAACAACGATACCTCTCATCAACATATCAACAATACCTCTCATCGACATAACAACAATACCTCTCATTGACTAACAACAAAGCTCTCATCGACATAACAACAATACCTCTCATCAACATATCAACAATACCTCTCCTCGGCATAACAACAATACCTCTCATCAACATCTCAACAATACCTCTCATCAACATCTCAACAATACCTCTCATCAACATCTCAACAATACCTCTCATCGACATAACATCAATACTTCTCATCGACATAACAACAATACCTCTCATCAACATCTCAACAATACCTCTCATCGACATAACATCAATACTTCTCATCGACATAACAACAATACCTCTCATCAACATCTCTACAATACCTCTCATCAACATCTCAACAATACCTCTCATCGACATAACATCAATACTTCTCATCGACATAACAACAATACCTCTCATCAACATCTCTACAATACCTCTCATCAACATCTCTACAATACCTCTCATCGACATAACATCAATACTTCTCATCGACATAACAACAATACCTCTCATCAACATCTCTACAATACCTCTCATCAACATCTCAACAATACCTCTCATCGACATAACATCAATACTTCTCATCGACATAACAACAATACCTCTCATCAACATCTCTACAATACCTCTCATCAACATCTCTACAATACCTCTCATCGACATCTCAACAATACCCCTCATCGACATCTCAACAATACCCCTCATCGACATAACATCAATACTTCTCATCGACATAACAACAATACCTCTCATCAACATCTCAACAATACCTCTCATCAACATCTCTACAATACCTCTCATCGACATAACAACAATACCCCTCATCGACATCTCAACAATACCCCTCATCGACATAACAACAATACCTCTCATGCCACACTCCGTTTCTTTGCACAGAGAGAAAGTCTTTGTCTAAACCGGACTCTAAGCCGTCGCCAAATTTAGGAGGGTAAGTCTTTTTCCTTTCTTTTTTTTAAATTGGGGATTAGAATCGATTCCACGTGACCAAACTAGAAACAGAGAGATCAACTTGCTATTTTTAGCCCATGTTGTGTAACGTAAATGCGCTGGGATCACTAGCCATCAGGCACGCAATTGATTTGGGGAGAAAAAAAAGGGGGGGGGGGGGTGGGTGTTGATTACTGCCCGGGTTCGCTTGTATAACCAACCACAAAAGTCTTTAGTTTTTTTTCAATTCTGTGCAAAGCTCTTTAATCTTAGCCTCTATTTCCAACCCTATCCCAACAGAATGGATTCGTCAGCACCATTTTCTGACACATTTCTTGGAAGTCCTCAAGAGTTTTCACATCTCCTGATTTAGTGTAAATACTGTGCAAGGGGAACGTTGCAAGTCTGTGCCATCTTACCATCTACTCCTACTTACTACACCTCGGTGCAAGGGGAACGTTGCAAGTCTGTGCCATCTTACCATCTACTCCTACTTACTACACCTCGGTGCAAGAGGAACGTTGCAAGTCTGTACCATCTTACCATCTACTCCACTTACTACACCTTGGTGGCTTAAAAAAAAGATCAGTGAAAACAAATGCTACACTTCCGTATTGTGTTACACTCCAGACTAATTTGTTCATGTACAAAGTTACTTAGTTGAAGTAAACCGCCGATGACTTTATGGAATTATAGTTGACGCTGCTAAAATATCCCCTCATCTTATGTATAATTGAAACGTTCAAAGCTTAAGAAGACTAGAGTGAACCTCTAGGCCAGCGGTTCTCAGCCTTCCTAATGCCGCGACCCTTTAATACAGTTCTTCATGTTGTGGTGACCCTCCCCCCCCCCCCCCCCCCCCCCCCAAACCATAAAATTATTTTTGTTGCTACTTCATAAACAAGTTTTGTTTACCAATGGTTTTAGGCGACCACATTGTTGAGAACCACTGCTCTAGACAGATGAGGGGGGATAGCATGGCAAGATAGGCAAATGAATTTTTTTTTTACTCATTTCTTAACATCCACAGTTGTAGGAATCATTTGTTAACATCCACAGTTGTAGGAATCATTTGTTAACATCCACAGTTGTAGGAATCATTTGTTAACATCCACAGTTGTAGGAATCATTTGTTAACATCCACAGTTGTAGGAATCATTTGGTTACAACACTATCCACTACATAAAGGTCAGCGTGACCATGTTTGTGAGAGCTCGTGAGAGTTTGTGAGAGTTTGTGATAACGTATGAGAGTTTGTGAGAACTTGTGAGAGTTTGTGAGAGCTTGTGAGAGTTTGTGAGAGTTTGTGAGAACTTGTAAGAGCTTGTGAGAGTTTGTGCGAACTTGTGAGATTTTGTGAGAGTTTGTGAGAGGTTGTGAGAGGTTGTGAGAGTTTGTGAGAATTTGTGAGAGTTTGTGAGAGTTTTTGAGAACGTTTGAGAGCTTGTGAGACTTTGTGAGAGTTTGTGAGAGTTTGTGAGAGTTTGTGATAGTTTGTGAGAGTTTGTGAAAGTTTGTGAGAGTTTGTGAGATTTTGTGAGAGTTTGTGAAAGTTTGTGAGAGTTTGTGAGATTTTGTGAGAACTTTTGAGAGCTTGTGAGACTTTGTGAGAGTTTGTGAGAGTTTGTGAGAGGTTGTGAGAGTTTTTGAGAGTTTGTGAGAGTTTGTGAGAGCTTGTGAGAGTTTGTGAGAGGTTGTGAGAGTTTGTGAGAACTTGTGAGAGTTTGTGAGAGTTTGTAGGAGCTTGTGAGAGTTTGTGAGAGTTTTTGAGAACTTGTGAGAGTTTGTGAGAGTTTGTGATACCTTGTGAGAGTTTGTGAGAGTTTGCGAGAGTTTGTTTTTCAATTAAACTATTTACATGTTGTTCATTTACATTCTTCTTACATTAAAAACACAACAAGTTTGTCAAGAAATTAACTCGGTAGTATTTTTGGAGGTCCCTTTAATGTTTAGTATGTTCTATAATTCTCTATAATTTTCCCCAAATGTTTCGAAATCTAATTTTAAGTTCCAAATGAGTGTCGGGGGCTTTACAATGTATTTTCTGTATAATAGCCAGAGCTTCACCAATGGTAAAAAATGAAAAGAATCTACGTATTTCTTAAAATAATGTTTGTTCGTTTTCCAATATAAAAAATGTGAAAGATAAGGTTGTTGTTTTTCTAATATCAGCCATTTAAATAAAATTATACTCAGTGGATAGACGAAATTATGGGTAAAAATGCACTTGAAAATCGATATCGAAAAACTGGTGGGTTTTGATATAATATTCACCACTCTCTGGGCCCAGGGATGTTAATTTTATCTCACTCACGTACGCTATATGACTTACATTTTTTTTTTTTCAAACGATCTTAATGGGACAGCCTAAGTAAAACATTATTTACTTGGCTATTTATCTGATGAATTATTTAGAGATAATTAAAACGTCTTATTCTAAAACGGGCCCCCCACTGGCGTCCTTATGGTGACTTGAATGGGAAACAATAGTGTGACGTCACTTAGCTGGCGATGTTTCAGCCTCAAGATAATGCCTACATAAGAAGGGGAGGCCATTTCTACAAATTATTAGAAAGTTTGAATGAAATTTTTTTTATAGAAATTGCCATCAAGCTCTATAGTGTTCAAAGTAGTTTTGAAATGGTATGAACATTCCAATTGGGATCTACGAATTGATGAACATTTTAGTTCAGCCTTATAGATTTCTGAACTTGCCTGGAAATTTCCCCAGTATCGGGTAAAATATCTGTTGTAAGTTTCTTGAAACTTCTTATTCTAGAACATTCGATTTTTTTTTTTTTAATAAGGAGTTTGAGATTATATAAATGTACTTTTTATGTTATTTTGAAAAAAAATATGTTTCTTTAAGTGCCTATGATTGTTCCTCAAAAGTTATGAAATCAGATTTAAAGATCTTTTGTAAGTTTCTAGAAAGTTCCAAACGAGTGTAGGAGGTTGCGAAGTGTATTTTCCTTATAACAGCCAAAGCTACACAAGAAGGTTTGGTTAACGATGCAAGCTTCTAAGTAAATTGTTGCATCTAGGCCAGTGGTCGGCAAACTCATTAGTCAAAAGCGCCAAAAAGTCAGCAGCAGGACGATTAAACATTTTTTTGAGAGCCAAAATTGTTTTCAAGAACCTGTCAGGAACCATGTTTTTCGGAGTGAAAACCCATTTGTGGCCGACTGGCCGAGCCGCATTCACGTCCTTAAAGAGCCGCATGTGGCTCGCGAGCCGCGACTTGCCGACCACTGGTCTAGGCCAATCTTTGCGAATTGGTTTTTGACGGGTCCCTACATTTACGTGTTCGCTGCTCACGCTTTAGACTTTAAAATGGTTCTCAACCTTCCTAATGCCCCGCGACCCTTTAATGCAGTTTCTCATGTTGTAGTGACCCCTAAAATATAAAATTCTTTTCGTTGCTACGTTATAAATATGCCCCCCCGAGACTCTTTAATGCAGTTTCTCATGTTGTAGTGTCCCCTCAAATATAAAATTCTTTTCTTTGCTACGTTATAAATATGTGTTATCTTTGGTGATTCCTGTGTAAAGGCTGAGACCACTGCTTTAGAAGATTTCTTTCTGAATGCAAACCCAAGCACAAGATTCGCTGTTTAATGAAACAGGATTCTTTTACAAAATTTAAAAGAAACGCTGTACCATTTTAATAAACCACAGTTCATTGCGTGGTGCATGGGGAGGTGCACATTACCACAAGTACCACATAGTTCAGTGGCAGTTATAAAGAGTGTTTTGACGTATACATAGAGATTTAAGGATCTAGAGTTCGTTTTTAATTTTTTAATACCACCTTAATATAATATGTGTGTTTGGGAAAAGGGAGAAACACACGTTTGAGATTCAGCCCCAAACAGTAAGTAGTCCAGCTATGGTTTTTTGCATTTCATGAGGACAGCCATGTCTCAAAGGCATCACTTGTTAAACACGGAGCAATTTCGGTCCATATTAGATTACAATTCATACATTAAAATATGTATGTGTTGTACATTTATCTTCTTAAATACTTAACAAAATAATGTTTTCTCTCAGTTGTATCGATAATCACACGGTAGTGTTACAGTGTCATTACGCGGTAGGGATAAAGTGTCATCACACGGTATTGTAACAGTGTCTTTACACAGTTGTGTCACAGTGTCATCACACGGTAGTGTTACAGAGTAATCACACGGTAGTGCTACAGTGTCTTTACACGGTAGTGCTACAGTGTCATCACACGTTAGTGTTACAGTGTCATCACACGGTAGTGTTACAGTGTCATCACACGGTAGTGCTACATTGTCATCACACGGTAGTGTTACAGTGTCTTCACACGGTAGTACTACAGTGTCATCACACGGTAGTGCTACAGTGTCATCACACGGTAGTGTTACAGTGTCTTCACACGGTAGTGTTACAGTGTCATCACACGTTAGTGCTACAGTGTCATCACACGGTAGTGCTTCAGTGTCATCACACGGTAGTGCTTCAGTGTCATCACACGGTAGTGTTACAATGTCATCACACGGTAGTGCTACAGTGTCATCACAAGATAGTGTTACAGTGTCTTCACACGGTAGTGTCAATGTCATCACAAGGTAGTGTTACAGTGTCATCACAAGGTAGTGTTACAGTGTCATCACACGGTAGTGTTACAGTGTCATCACACGATAGTGTTAATGTCATCGCAAGGTAGTGTTATAGTGTCATCACACGGTAGTGTTACAGTGTCATTACGCGATAGTTTTACAGTGTGATTACACGATAGTGTTAATGTCATCACAAGGTAGTGTTATAGTGTCATCACACGGTAGTGTTATAGTGTCATCATACGGTAGTGTTACAGTGTCATCACACGATAGTGTTACAGTGTCATCAAACGATAGTGTTACAGTGTCATCACACGATAATGTTACAGTGTCATCACACGGTAGTTTCAATGTCATCACACGGTAGTGTTACAGTGTCATCACAAGGTAGTGTTACAGTGTCATCACACGGTAAGTGTTACAGTGTCATCACACGATAGTGTTAATGTCATCGCAAGGTAGTGTTATAGTGTCATCACACGGTAGTGCTACAGTGTCATCACACGGTAGTGTTACAGTGTCATCGCACGGTAGTGTTACAGTGTCTTTTCACGATAGTTTTACAGTGTCATCACACGGTAGTGTTACAGTGTCATCACACGGTAGTGTTACAGTGTCATCACACGGTAGTGTTACAGTGTCATCACACGGTAGTGTTACAGTATCATCACACGGTAGTGTTACAGTGTCATCATATGATAGTGTTACAGTGTCATCACACGATAGTGTTACAGTGTCATCACACTATAGTGTTACAGTGTCATTACACGATAGTGTTACAGTGTCATCACACGGTAGTGTTACAGTGTCATCACACGGTAGTGTTACAGTGTCATCACATGATAGTGTTACAGTGTAATCACACGATATTTTTACAGTGTCATCACACGGTAGTGTTATAGTGTCACCACACGATAGTTTTACAGTGTCATCACACGGTAGTGTTATAGTGTCATCTCACGGTAGTGTTACAGTGTCATCCCACGGTATGGTTACAGTGTCATCCCACGGTATGGTTACAGTGTCATCACACGGTAGTGTTACAGTGTCATCACACGATAGTGTTACAGTGTCATCAAACGATAGTGTTACAGTGTCATCACACGATAATGTTACAGTGTCATCACACGGTAGTGTCCATGTCATCACAAGGTAGTGTTACAGTGTCATCAAAGGTAGTGTTACAGTGTCATCACACGGTAGTGTTACAGTGTCATTACGCGATAGTTTTACAGTGTGATTACACGATAGTGTTAATGTCATCACAAGGTAGTGTTATAGTGTCATCACACGGTAGTGTTATAGTGTCATCATACGGTAGTGTTACAGTGTCATCACACGATAGTGTTACAGTGTCATCAAACGATAGTGTTACAGTGTCATCACACGATAATGTTACAGTGTCATCACACGGTAGTGTCAATGTCATCACAAGGTAGTGTTACAGTGTCATCACAAGGTAGTGTTACAGTGTCATCACACGGTAAGTGTTACAGTGTCATCACACGATAGTGTTAATGTCATCGCAAGGTAGTGTTATAGTGTCATCACACGGTAGTGTTACAGTGTCATTACGCGATAGTTTTACAGTGTGATTACACGATAGTGTTACAGTGTCATCACACGGTAGTGTTATAGTGTCATCACACGGTAGTGGTATAGTGTCATCACACGGTAGTGTTACAGTGTCATCACACTGTTGTGTTATAGTGTCATCACACGATAGTGTTACAGTGTCATCACACGATAGTGTTAATGTCATCACAAGGTAGTGTTATAGTGTCATCACACTGTAGTGTTACAGTGTCATCACACGGTAGTGTTACAGTGTCATCACACGGTAGTGTTATAGTGTCATCACACGGTAGTGTTACAGTGTTATTACACGGTAGTGTTACAGTGTCATCACACGGTAGTGTTATAGTGTCATCACACGGTAGTGTTACAGTGTTATTACACGGTAGTGTTACAGTGTCATCACACGGTAGTGTTATAGTGTCATCACACGGTAGTGTTACAGTGTTATTACACGGTAGTGTTACAGTGTCATCACACGGTAGTGTTATAGTGTCATCACACGGTAGTGTTACAGTGTTATTACACGGTAGTGTTACAGTGTCATCACACGGTAGTGTTATAGTGTCATCACACGGTAGTGTTACAGTGTTATTACACGGTAGTGTTACAGTGTCATCACACGGTAGTGTTACAGTGTCACCACACGGTAGTGTTACAGTATCATCACACGGTAGTACAATTACAGGCATTCCATTCAATGGCAGACACCCGGTACAATGGCAAACACCCGGTACAATGGCAGACACCCCAGTACAATGGCAGGAACTCCATGCAGTGACCGACAATCCGTACAACGTCAGGTACTCAGTTTATTGGCAGGCTCTCAGTACAATGGCAGGCCCTCCATAAAATGGCAGGCACTCCGTAAAATGGCAGGCTCTCAGAACATGGCAGGCCCTCAGTTCAATGGCAGGCACTCCATAAAATGGCAGGCACTCCGTACAATGGCACGCTCTCAGTACAATGGCAGGCCCTCAGTACAATGGCAGGCACTCAGGACAATGGCAGGCCCTCAGTACAATCGCAGGCACTCCATAAAATAGCAGGCACTCCTTACAATGGCAGGCTCTCAGTACAATGGCAGGCCCTCAGTACAATGGCAGGCACTCAGGACAATGGCAGGCCCTCAGATTTCAGGGATATTAACTGAAATTGGTTGGCTCCAAAATTCAATGTTTACAATAATTATTATAAATCTGGGATTTTATACGCGAAAATTAAAATTTGAATATGAACTCGAGCGAAGGCGAAGTGTTTTGGATAATATGTTCGCTTATAACGCTTTATGAGATTATTTTCCGAATACAACCCCGAGAAAACCCGGGTATATTATATACATTATTAGTACAATATAGAGCTCACCAAGTCTACCCTCAACAAACATTTACCTCAAGTCTATCACGAGAGCGATTCTCACGTTGGCGTTATACACATTTCTATATTATACATACTGGCATTATATAGGCGGATGGTATACATAACCACGTTCACCTCCAACACAAACATGTTGCACTAACACTTGCAGCGCTCATATCTCTCAAACACTTGTATACGGCTGCGACTGCACACACAAACACATTTTACGATCCCCATGACAACGGGCTCCATCGAATGCTCTAAAGACAGGTGGGGCCGGGGGGGGGGGAGTTCTCAACCATTGAGTCGCGACCCCCTGTGGTCAGAAATTGACAGTGATGACTCAGTCGATGACAGTAAATAATACCCCTACCCACTTTTAAAGTCGCAAAAAACGTTTTTTTTCCCCCAATTTATAAGAATTATCGTCGCTCAATAGTATGGGCATGATATTACAAAGGTTTAGAACCACTTCTCGAAAGGGTTGACCTACTACTCAGTAAACCACACAAAAAAAAAAAAAAAAAAAAAAAAAAAACACAAAAAAAACAACCCTTTCACAAATTCCCCCAAGCCCCCCGCCCCCCCCCCCCTTTCCACAAAGCGCCCCTGTTTTCGTATCTTTAAACACACCGCCCCCAGCTTCCATTGTGAACTGTATACAAATTAACTTCGTTTAAATAATTCCCCCCTAGCCTCCCCCATTGACACGGGATAAACAACGTGGTCTCCCTCAGGTGAAAATTGTTTTTAAGGAAACATTTCAGTAATTCCTTGACAGTTTGGTTCTGCCGTCACAGCTGAGGAAGAATGTTATGGGAACTGCGTCTTACAAATTAGAAAAAAAAAGTGTTTATTCAAATGAGTGAACTTGTGATGGTCAATGCCCTTGACGTCTGTCTATTGAAGATCATCGGCTACGTAGTCTGTCGGGATTGTCATTNGATAACATATGGATAAAAAGTGTGAGAGAGAGAGAGAGAGAGAGAGAGAGAGAGAGAGAGAGAGAGAGAGAGAGAAAGAGAGGAGAGGGGTGAGAGAGAGAAAGAAAGAATAAAAGAAAGAAAGAAAGAGGGCGGTATAGATAGAGGGAGAAAGAGACAAAGAGAGAAAAATAGAAAGAGGGAGAGAGAGAGAGAGAGAGAAAGAAAGATGGAAAGAAAGAAAGAGAGACAGACAGAGAGACAGAGAAACGGTGACAGGAAGACAGAAAAACAGAGTGACAGAGAGAGGAAAGGAGAAGAAGAAAGAGGTAGTAAGTAGTTATAGGAGTAGAAACTTTTTTTAAAAAATACAGAAGTGCCATTATCGTGATGACTTAGTTGTTTCCTTGTTCTATAGAAATTAGATCTAGCTTTAGTATTGTTCAATGGATATTAATAGATATAATGTCGGCTTAATGTTTCGGGTGCAATCATTTTGTTGCATGGTAATGTGTGCATATGTAAGCATATGTAAGCATTCTACCTTGGCTTTCTTATTCGTCCTACAACTTTGCTCTATTATACTATACGTGTGACCTTTTAGCACGAGAGCGGAAGCGCCCCCGAGGAAACTTGAGGGCGTCCACATGGGGGTTCGCCTCTTCTCGGCGTGGCGGACTTGTAGGGTGGACTTGTCCACACGAAGCCAAAAACCTCGGCCGACCGCATGACTCCCAACACAACGGGAGTAGCAACACAATAACATGATTAATTGTTGCCGCTCATGGATATGAGGCTTGGGTGACGGTAAATAATTTTTTTTTAAAAAGCGCATGGCGATGATTTTAGCTACGCAGCCGTGAGAAAGCTGCTCCTAGGCAGCCGTGAGAAAGCTGCTCCTAGGCAGCCGTGAGAAAGCTGCTCCTAGGCAGCCGTGAGAAAGCTGCTCCTAGGCAGCCGTGAGAAAGCTGCTCCTAGGCAGCCGTGAGAAAGCTGCTCCTAGGCAGCCGTGAGAAAGCTGCTCCTAGGCAGCCGTGAGAAAGCTGCTCCTAGGCAGCCGTGAGAAAGCTGCTCCTAGGCAACCGTTTCGTCCATGCTTTTTGTACCGGCCGAAAGACTCCCTGGGTGGGGTAGGGGGAGGTAACGCCACACATTTTCCCCCGGAGTCAAAGCAAAGCCGCCCAGACCCTCTGGGAGAGTCGACTGCGAACGCTTTGAACGATGCGTTTTCGGTCGACCGGACGACCCCCGGGCCAGGGGGAAGGGAGGCGTGCCGCCGCACGGTCTGGAGATCCGGCGTCTGGCCCATGTGGAGGTGTGCCCGGGGGAGGGGGGCATTAAGAGCTCACGCTCGACGGCCCACCAATACCGTTTCCCCATGTGACGTATTTAGACACTTGGGCAAGTTGATGAAGCAACCCCTAAAAACAAAGTGTTTCTGTAGAAATCCTTTCTCTGCAATTTTTAAAATCCTTTTGATTAACTTTGACTTTGTGGGTATAGGACTGAATATTTGGACAGCTAATTGACCCACTTCCTGTCAACCTATCGAGCTGAAACTTGGCACATAGACTCGTTTTCGAGAGACGTGGTTGATGGGGAAGTGGTCGATTAGCCGTCTGAAGAGTTTGCCAGCAAGCAAGACGGCCAGCATGCCACTAAGGAACAAAAGTGAAATTAATAAAAAGGATTTAAAAATAGCTGACCAGGTCTGTACATTTACCATTCGACCATTTGTTTAAATTTTACCTGGTAACTGTGTCCTAATTAAGAATGCTAAATTAAAGTTTACCTGGTAACTGTGTCCTAATTAAGAATGCTAAATTGAAGTTTACCTGGTAACTGTGTCCTAATTAAGAATGCTAAATTGAAGTTTACCTGGTAACTGTGTCCTAATTAAGAATGCTAAATTGAAGTTTACCCGGTAACGCCACCCTTCAAAGATGGCACTATATTTAACTTTTTTATTTTTATTTAAAGAGAACACTTTTCTTTTAAAATCCATAATTTCAAACAATTTTTTTTTAAAAGTATTAATTTCATTATAAATCAATATTATCAGGAACCGGTGGGGGCTAGAAATTACAGGGGAAAGCTATCGTAACATGCTGTCGAATGAAGACTTGATAGGTAGAGAGTTGTCCTGACAGTTCTAATAATAGATTTCAACTACCGTTAGGGATCTTGTAAAATGAAACCAGACACGATAACCGGTATGAAACTAGATCACTGGACACGAAAACTGGTATGAAACTAGATCACTGGACACGATAACCGGTATGAAACTAGATTACTGGACACGATAACTGGTATGAAACTAGATCACTGGGCACGATAACTGGTATGAAACTAGATCACTGGACACGATAACCGGTATGAAACTAGATCACTGGACACAATAACCGGTATGAAACTAGATCACTGGACACGATAACCGGTATGAAACTAGATTACTGGACAAGACAACCGGTATGAAACTAAATCAACCGGCATGATAACCGGTATGAAACTAGATCACTATACACGAAAACCGGTATGAAATTAGATCACTGGACACGAAAACTGGTATGAAACTAGATCACTGGACATGATAGCCGGTATGAAACTAGATCACTGGACACGATAACCGGTATGAAACTAGATCACTGGACACGATAACCGGTATGAAACTAGATCACTGGGCACGAAAACTGGTATGAAACTAGATCACTGGACACGATAACCGGTATGAAACTAGATCACTGGGCACGATAACTGGTATGAAACTAGATCACTGGACACGATAACCGGTATGAAACTAGATCACTGGACACGATAACCGGTATGAAACTAGATCACTGGACAAGACAACCGGTATGAAACTAAATCAACCGGCATGATAACCGGTATGAAACTAGATCACTGGACAAGACAACCGGTATGAAACTAAATCAACCGGCATGATAACCGGTATGAAACTAGATCACTGGACACGAAAACTTGTTCGCCGAAGACAATATAAACTATTTTAAAATCCTGTTCTGATTGTCATATGGAAAGTCACGCCCTGACCTTCACACCCGAATGAGTGGGCGTCTCCCCACGGCCATTGACCTTGATTCGTGGGAGACGTTTGCCAAGGACCGTCCTAGCTGTCGGAGTACGATCCTCAGAGAAGTGGTGCACATCTCACACCCAAAACAGCGCATGGCGAGAAAAAAAAACAGAAGTGACTCAAAATCCAACTAGGACACAAAACAACGTGTGCCCCACGTGCGGGAAAGCTTTCAAGGCACAAATAGGACTGGCAGGCCACCTGCGTGCTCACCGTGTAATGTAGCCTTGGTCATCTTCGCATGTGAAGGGCGAACTTCAAAACAAAACACAACACAACAACAAGGGGGAGTATGTTCGAATGTTGAATTTTAAAGCAAACAACAGATATATACAACTAAATTGGATACAACTGGATACAATTAATGTTACTGTAGTACCACGCCGATTGTTGGACTAGAAATAAGCTGTACTGTAGAAATAAGCAAATGTTTGACTACAAATAATGTTACTGTAGTACCACACAAATTTTTGACTACAAATAATTTAACTGAAGTACCAAGCAAATGGTTGACTACAAATCATGCTACTGTAGTACCACTCAAATGTTGGGCTACAAAATATGTTACGGTATTACCCGGCAAATTTGTGAATGCAAATAATGTTACTATAGCACCATACAAATGTTTGGGTACAAATAATGTTATTTTAGTACCACACAAATGTTCGACTACAAATATCGTTACTGTAGTACCACGCAAAATGTTTGACTAGAAATAATGTTACTGAATTACCACACAAATGTTTGGCTACAAATAATGTTACTGTAGTACCACACACATGTTTGGCAACAAATAATGTTATTGTAGTACCACACACATGTTTTGCTACAAATAATGTTACTGTAGTACCACGCAAATATAGGACTACAAATAAAGTTGCTGTAGTACCACGCAAATGTAGGACTAGAAATAATTTTACTGTAGCACCACACAAATGGTTGACTACAAATAAAGTTACTGTAATACCACGAAAATGGTTAACTTCAAAAATTGCTTTGAATTATGTATTTCGTTAAATTACTCTCGGTGACATTTGTATGGACATCATCTCTAGCCTTGATTTGGTTGTTGTTGTTGTCCTGGGAATTCCCCAGTCTCTGCTACATGTAGGTTGAAAGATCAGTGAAAATATCGTAGCATAGCTAGCAGGCCTTACCTGGAACCTTAGGTTTCCTGTTGGAGGTTTGGCATAGGGTACGCCCATGTATCTCTCCACCTCTGCCCCGTTGGGACGTCTGTAAATATAGCCCCGAATCTGCCCGTACGTGGTGTTCCGTACTGGGAACTGGTCACCGCCCCTGACCAAGCTGTCGGTGATGGCTAGACTCAAGCTCATTAACATCCACATCCACGGAATCATCTTTACTGGGTCCGTCTGTGAATTGAAACAAACGTGTTTGGTTGAACAGAAATCAATACATCAATGAATTACATCTATATCTAGGGGTTCTTAATCTTTAAGTAGCGTTGCAACCCCCTCCCCCCCCTCATCACCTCATCATTTTTAAATA